ATGGTGGTTGACCTACAGCATTATTATCGAGGATTAGAGTATTGCGGCAAGATGACGCTCCGGCTTCACGGGAACGTAGTCTAACCTGGCCACACGCATTTTTTATATTGATCGCTCCGAACGTTTGCCGTGTTTGTTTAGAATATGCAAGGTTGCATCAAGCCTACGGAGCCTGCTCTTTGCTGAAACTATCCTGGGCACACGACCGCTCGCTAGTACCAATTAAAACTCTGTCAGGGCTGACGCGAAAAAGCGATCTGTAGATTCATTTACGGGAGAGAATATCCAGTCGATATCGAAAAGTCTCATGATTCTTCCTCGGGGAAGCAACCGGGGGAGGAGATGGTTCCCGAGAATCTTAAAGCGTCAATCCCTCCAGAAACTCGATACATCGTTCTTAGAGCTGGGGATCGAATACGCGGTCACCGAAGTGGGAGGCTTCTGTTTTATTCGAAACTTCTGTGTCGGCGGTCTTTGTGTGAGGCACAAAAATGTGTCTCGTCAATCGAAAACCAAATACTCGCTCCGACCCCGACTCCCGTCAGAGTCGGAATTTCATTTCAATCACATTGAGTAGGGTAGCATCCAGTGATTTCTGAGAGGAAGCTGGTGGTTTCATCAGAAACAATACCTGCAGCTCTTTCGGGCAGAACCCTTCATTTTCGACAGAAGCACGATCTCTTGCTTCAGCTAGACAGATAGTGACCGTGTAGGGGAGCTCCATTCGGAACGCCGGCTGCTCTCGGGAAACCACTATGAGAATTTTGGGGCTCCGTCGCTCGAGAACCCCTACAGAAATCTTTTCGGATGAAGTCGCAGACCACTCTGTATCCACTGGAGGCCGGCTCTCATTTCATCATCAGAGATGATGAAATTCAAAATTCCATGAGGTTCCCATGCCGGTTAAAAGACCGCGCGATCGTATGAGCGTTCCTCCAGCCGCAATCGGGCAGGCGAACGGCCGGTGGACTAACTGGCTTGCCTTGTGACCCCGACGCGGCGTCCAAGTCGGCGAGTGAAAATGTCGACAATTATACGCTGACACATTTCTTCATCAGATTTAGCGAGAAAACGAGTCATCCTGTCCAAGAGAGTCTATTCTTGCCGCTACTTTTCCTTAACCAGTTCGTTCGTCCCAATCAAAATGAGTTGATCTCTTGCAGAACAAAACGATATGTGCACCATTTTCGACGGTATTTCTCTTTTCGTGGATAAATCAATACCGGCGGCAATTCACCCCCTTGACTCGCTGTCCCGATTGCAAATCATTAGCTGGCTCGCTCGCACAGATCATCTCGCTGCTCTGATCGGGGCAGATCTGCAATTCGTGGCTCAGGCTGTCGGGCATCGGTATCGCTTGCGAGTGGCGAACGATATTCCGCAGGTGACTGACGAGAGGCTCCTCGGAGATCTTCACTTGGGCACCTACTGGGCGAGGCTTCTCCCTCCGCGTGATCGTTGTTCTCCAGCTTATCACTCCTGTAATCAGCGTGTCTCGAACGCGACCATGTGGATGCACTCCGATTTTGTCTCGCGTCTGAATTAAATACGCGTGAGCGCTATCGCGCAGCTATTTTCCCTCCGCAATGTTTATAGCCCGTTGCTGTAACGAGTGCTTGGCTCCGTGGAGCACCAAGGGCTAGAGCGACGTTCCCGCGGTGCCAAACGTCATCGATTGGCAGTTTCGAGCTGGGAAGTATTCGTGATTCCAAGTTTAGATTTTTGTTTCTATCGATGTTCCGTGTTTTTATGACCCTTGTCGACACACTCCAACGAATTCCTTACCTACGCACATAATTTCACAGACGGAATTCGATCGGAATCTGGACATTGTCTGATGTTCCGGTGCTATCGACGGAGTTCTAGGTGGTTAGACTGCATGTCTTCTCTGTGAAGGTCTCGGGAGATTCTTCGGAGGACTAACGATGATCGAAAGTGAGGCTGGATCGGCTTGATTCAGAAGGGCTCGACGAAATTCGTTCTGGACCACACCGGGGAAGTCAGATATCACCACCGCGGAACTTATCAGACGACGGGAGTCCCCTCCATCTTCAGATCGTGAGGCTTCCCGGTCGATACCATCACCGTGAAATTCCTCCCGCGACTTCGGGCGTCACATTCGCTCTCATTCAGTCAATATAGTCCTCAGCGTCGTAGCCCTTATCGAGTTCCTTCGAATGTCCGGAGACGAATCGATTTTGAATGCCGAAGAGATACTGCGACGGGATGACTCTTCTCTTGATGCGCCCGACGGAGTGCAAGGCCACGAAAGAAAGCAATGAGGGCGGACAGCTGATCGGCCAAATACCCCACTCATTTTTGTGGAGTGTCAAACTACCATTACGATCGTGGAGACGATGATTGCGATGAAGATATTGATTGAGCCGAAGCACCGGATACGACTCATTCTGTGATTGCGGTGATCGAAGGGATTGACGCTGCCTAAACGACCATCGACGTCGTCCAGCTTGACACTTCTGCCCCGCCCACTCGGACAGAAGCCGAAGAACCCTGATCTCAGATCATTATCCATCGTTCATCATAGTTGCACCGTCGTCGTCATGATCGGGAGGGAAATTGAAAATTGATGGAAATTCAGCGGCAAGATTCACAACGTCGGGAAAATGTCTGAGATCGGAGCTACTCGATTCTTCATGGAAACGCGGAAGGTTGTGAACGTCAGAAGTGATAATTGATAGTTAATTTTAGTCAGGGGGTCTATGAATTCGCATGGATGCTATTCATAACTAATTGATCGATCAATGACCCGATACTCTCAGAACACGCGGGTGAATTCGGGAACGGATGAAAAGAATTCCTGAGGAGATTATTTTTTCGAAGGATATTCCACTGCCCCAATGTCGCGGCGAAGGTACACGCATTTGTTCTCGACAGACCTCAGTGTTCGTGCTCTTTCTTTTATCGTCGGGTTTATTGTCGCTCTTGCCTTTTGTGCGGGTGCGCTTGTTTTAGCGCGTATGTGTATTTGTTTCATACACAAGCCCCTGTGGCGGGCAGTGAGGGGCGATGCGTCGGGATCGTGCAAAAAGTGTGTCTGGCTGCAGTGCCGAAGTTGACGCCCAAAAACCTTCGACTTCGATCGTTGCTGCTACTCTTGTATTGGCGTTGCTTGCATTCCACCGATGATGATGACTTTGTTGTTGTTGATGGCGATGGCGGCGGCAGCGTTTTGGTTTTCGGTGGTGGAGGATTCTTCAGGAAAAATCAAGCGTTTCCGTGGCTGAAATTGCTGCTTAGAGGTCAAGTTTCGACCTCACCCTTAACGTCCCTCATAGAGCGACACCCCGGCTGTCGAAGGCGGATAGTAGGCGGCGAGAGCATTCGATAATCTGAGACCCAATGAATCGACCTCTCACCTCCCATTCGGTCTCGACGAAAGCACGCCTCTGGGTTCCGAGATCCGTGGAGTTAGTCGGAGCCTAGTCCGGACCGAGTGATCGAGCTGCCTTCCATAGACAGTGATAACGCAAGATTTATGATATAGCCAGGCGACCGCAGAAGATGCAGCATCGGCAGAGCTGGGATTGGCTGTGTTTGTTAGGGAGTCTAATTATTGTCATTTGTCAGGGGAAGAGAGCTACTTCATTCGAATGGTCCGATGTGTAATAATGTGGCTGATTTCACTTCGTTGACGTTCCCGCGGCTTCGGCTCTCGTGGAAAGATGAAGCAGCCCCGTTCCCTCTCGAGAGACATTCCTGACGTCTATTTCTATGGCCTTGTTCTGACTCTGTGTGCTCTCGTATCAAGAATCTGTCCGGCTATTGGTACACGATTCCAAAACCCGAGATTATCTCTCAATGCATCAATCGGTATGATGAGAGAATTATCCCGCTCTTCCGTAGCACATCTATCCATTTATCCGTCGTTCCGTGGACCCGATAAAACTACCTGACCGAAGACCGATTGTTTCTCTGTGGTGTTCTTCCAATCAATGAATGCCAACAAACAAGGTAATAATGCCGTCGACGCCCAGCCTTGTGCATTTCGAAATTTGTATTCACTCTCGATTTTCTCTTCGGAAGGAAGCAATCAGAACGACCGGTGATCCGGGTACGATCTTTGCGACGGGGTAACTACAGGGGGGTGTATTCGCAGCGATTTCCGCGTTAAGAAAACAGCGTGCACGCGCCTCTGCTCACGACAAGTAGTGAGTAAATGCTCGATCTAACTCTCCGAAGTGCATTACCGTGGTCGCGCCAGGGTTCCCACTCGCAACGGTCTCTGACTCCGAAAATAAGTTCCCCTCATCTATTCCGTCAGAAAGCGTCGCGTGAGAGGCTGCATCAAATTAAACGTGTATTCGAGCGGCGAGCGGGGTGAGAGTAATCCCTGATCTCTCAATCTTCGGTGAAAGATGAGGCGATCATGATCCGTTATCCTCGGAAGTGAGTTCTGTTTGCGGCTCTCAACGAATGAAGTGCCGATCAATCAACTCGGGAGGCGAGACACATTCGCGCGGACAGGTCGCGGGAAGGTCGGCCGGATTCTCAGCTCCGATATATCCCCACGGCCACAGCTGAGCTCCGATGACATCCCAGGTCATTACGCCTCGCTCACGAGCCGGCCATCATCGTCTTTCCAAATCTATATCTCCCTGTGATATTCTGATGGATGCTAAAGAATGTGCTCTTCTGTTTCGTGAGGGCCCGGAGCCCCATCTTGAGAAGTCTCCGAAAGTTAGATTCCATCAGATCCTTGCAAGCAGCAGCGATTTCCCTCGGAAATCAATCGGGGTGATCGCCGGTGCTGCACCACAAGGGGGCCACCTGTGACCAGGAGGCCCCCTCTGGGAGAGAACGGTATCCGACGGGTGAGATTTTCTAGGAATGGATGGAACACCTGATTGGCTAATGACCATTCCGTCGTCGCGGCTCCCGAGTTCTAGGCTCGACCACAGAACTCCGGTTTTCCCCGCTGAATCCTGGCGCTTGAGCAGGATTCCCTATTCAGGTGAGTTGGGGATCCCCTCCCGGCTTACCTGAAGCTTCCTGTTGCCGACGAGGAACTCCTTGCTGCACAAACTTTTCCGACCCTTGTAGGCGAAGAATGCGCCTATCGCTGCCGACAGGACGAGCACCAACACCAGGACCATGTAGTCGGCCGTGGTGAAGCTTCCCCGCGGTCCCAACATCTTTCCGTGAGGGTCGGAGCTGTGCTCCAATGGACAGACGGGCGCACGGGAAAATGAAGGAGAAAATCTTCTCTCACACAAGCATACGATCCAGAGGTCGTTCCGTGATCCGATCACAAAATCCGGGGCTTGAAAATCGGGATCGCGATTCACAACGTCATGACTCGAAGCACACGCACACGTCTGATTGGGAGAACTCGCTCTGACGTTCTGAAACGGTAGTTCGAATGCGAAAGATGCGCGGAGGAGAGGGTGAAGTCGTCGCCGACGGCAGCGGCGACACGGCAGGGACGGCAAGGAGCGACGAGACGCGTTCACCACCTAGAGGTAAAACGATTCGCTCGCCATTTCCATGCTTCACATGCGGTGCATTGACGGCACTCCAGAATACGTCTCGAGCGCCCTCCAGCAGCTCGAGTGAATTCTTGATCGGGCGACCTTTCCCTTGTGGAGCCTGAGCTCCGTTTTCCTTCCAGGAGCTCTCCGCCAAGTTGTACACCGGGAACGTATTTGATCAAAATTGATCTCGATTGGCCGATGATGTTCCCCTTCGCCGAATTCTGGGCAGCGATTCCATGCACGAAGGGGCATTGTGACCGAACGTCGAATCAAGTCTTTGCCAAGATGTCATTGATTCCAGGGAGAAAATATCGAATCAATTCGGATCGAATTATTTCAGTCTTCGGGTCGCGAGACCTTCCTTGTGATCGAAAGCATCGGATACTCGATCGCGGACCTGGTCCGCATAGATGCGTCGCATCATTGCTGCTCCCCGACGCAGCTTGGCTTCAAGCTGGGGGTACGACAAGATCAAATCTTGGCTAATAAGATGAACGCTTGTCCCGACTAAGACCGGAGTGTCCATTCTGTAGTTCTCTCGGGGATTCGTGTCAGGTTATGTGCGAGGGGCGAGTGATTTGTTGTTTTAATAATTCTTCTGATAGGAGTCGGATTCCGTTTCTGCGCCTCGCCCGACACCGCCAGAGTTGACCTTTCGGGACGTCGTTCCCAGACGCATTTTTCGTGCGAAAAGCAGCGGAATAAACTTATAATTTTCTTCAACATCTCAAGGAGGCTCCGAGGCCTAATGAGCGCTCGTGTGACACACTAGTGCTCATCAGAAGAGTAGCTTGTGCAACGAGGGGACATCTCTATTTAAGGATGTCATCGGAATACTTCGGAAGCTTGTGTAGCTTAATCTCTCTTAGCTCGACGAGAGATGATGGAGCGACGTACCTGCGGATGGCGCCGCTGAACTTCTTGTTCTCATCGAATCGAGCGAAAAATTTTAGTATGCTCAGAAAATTATTATTTCTGTGGCAGCGCTGATCCTTCCGCGAGCTCTTTGTTCAGGACGATGCCTGGGGGAAAATATCAACTGCTTCCCGAAGAGTTCGGAGAAGCGGTCCAAGTCGCACAAAAGACGAGCTGCTTCATTGTGGCGATGGCTGATGCGCAAACCGGGCTCTATTCTCTGGTCTACTGAGTGACGTTACTCGCGGTGGATCGTTTGTATTTCTCGCTGTCAGTGAAAAAATCACAGTTTACTCTTTCTTCTCGGCACAGGGGACTTGAACAGCTTCTTTGGAACCTCATTTCTGGCAGGGCGCCCTTTAACCTTGTGAGTGGAGCTTTCCGAGCTTCGCTCTTCTCGCCTCCTAAGCAATCCATGATTCGTGGAAAAGGATTAGTCTGTAGAGTGAGCTATTTCTAGAGGGCAGACAGGTCGCTGAATGAGAGTACCCTTCAGCAACATGGAGCTTACAGCTCACCAGGGGCTCTGGGCGTCCCAAGCATGCCCAGAAATGGATACGACGAAGTCAGGATAAGACTCATAACTAGGTAATTCTCACTCATATAACTTGACTCGAGAGGTTTCGCTCTATCGCATCCACTTGAAAACTCCAGGATGGGACGATGCCCGAGATTATTTTCGTGAAAGAAATACCGAAAACCGCCAAGGTGAAGTCTGCGTTGGACCAGACGATGAATAACGCTCAGTACTGCTTCTCCTTCCAGTTTGGGGAACCTGGTTTGCCTAGACAAGTCGCGGATCACGCCATCATCATCTGGGAGAAAAAATCCTTCTTGACGCTGAATATGTATGGCTATCAGCGGAGAACACTCGGGAGAGGGGAGCTGCAGGGAAGAAAGGACTCAATTGAAACTCAATGGACTCGTCTGCCCTCCGCATACATAAGGACGAATTAATCATGTCAGGTGTGCATCCAGCGTCGGATTGATCGAGCCCTTCTAAGAAAAGCTCCAGCGGTCTGAGCTGGAGTCGTGCGAAAGGAGAAAAGGTAGACTCTGGAAGCAATTGATGGAAGACAGTCCGGAATGTGCCCGCGGATGAAGGCGAGGCTTGGAATCGGTATCGCAGCTTCTCGCAAACGGCGGATAAGGATCGCCGGGAATTGCACCCGATCGTTCTCCGGCGGAGGACTTCCCTAGATTCATCTGCGGGAGAACATCGAACATCGACCAAATTCGGAATCGACCTCGCTGTTTCAAACTCCAGCGCTTTCTGGAACCCTCACGAATCGGCCATTTTCGGTTCCCAAGCTTCGACGTTCTGGCCATCCCTCGGGAAGATAGAATTCCGTGCTTCGGCCCCGAAAGCCGAGGACGGCTGATGGGATGGAGGCCGCGAATCGCGGTTCCTGCCAGGATCGATTCCCCCCCCCCTGACGGAAACCCCGAGGCGAACCCCGATAAGAGCGCCCATGGTAGCACGAAATACTCTCCAAATCTCTCCGAGACCGGCCACTGTATGTCGTGAATGCGGGAGGCTGTTCCCCACCGCTGTTCGGTCTGGAGCTCTCGCGTACGGCTTGCGTTCCCTCCGTCTTCCCAATCGCCACCCACCCTAGGGCAGCGGGATATTCTGGTTTTTAGCAAGCTCCTAGATTGAGCCTCTAATTCCGAAGATCAGGGCTCCGCAATCTCTCAATGCTACTTACGTGATACCGGACAGCCGCCCCGCTAACAACGACTGTAACGGATACCGATATTCTGTGTTCCACAGCGAGGTGCTTGCGTCGATGTGTCATTAATGAGCAGGCGCTATCGCGCAGAAGTATTTCCGCGAGTTTCGAATCACAAAGCTCATCAGACAAGAGCAAGGCACCCAGCAGAGATGGCAGGGCTGAAACTGAAGAATTCTCTCCAATTTTTCTCTGAGCTCTGGTCCTTTCCTTCTTTTTTAAAGTCTCCCGAACCCAATTTTCTTTTTCCGCCGACGACCTGGCTGATCCGTCGCGCCGAGAAATTCAGTCCGCTAGGAAATCCGCTCGGTCGCTTGGAGGAAACTGCAACGCTTAGTTTGAATCTTCTCCGACTCGTTGCCTATCGCTCCAAGACGGTAACCAGATCAAATGGATCAAGCGGAGCGGCAAATGATTCCGACGTAATCTCTCTCGATCGTTCCGAGCATCACGACCTTGCGAACTTCTGGCTAGCCACCAAAAACCGTACGACAGCAGACGTCACTCGCTCCAGAAGCCCCCTGCCTTTGACGGTCTGACTGACTGAGAGATCTCGGCGGCGGAAAGGACTTCGCGATAAGCGTCCGATGTTCGACCAATCCATGAGCGGCGAAGCCGAGATTGGATGAGAAGTTGTCAGCCTAGTGCCAGTGCGGTCCCGAATCCCCGGTTCCCTACAGTCCGGCCGGAGCTTCCGACTCGGGCTCAGGTGACGGTGATACCGATCGGCGGATTGTCCACGCAGTGCGCCCAAGCTCAGGATAATCTCACAGTGCAGTTTTCGCTCGACTCACCGAGATGGATTCATTACCCGTCCCCGCAGCCAACATGGACCCCATAGCGTATATGTTGCTGCTTATTTGTGCGGAAGTCCTGGAACTGCTGGATCAGATGCGGGAGCGGCACTTGGTCGGAATCATACTGAACATTCCGCGCTACCTCATCGTATGATCGGAATACGTCAATCAAGCTCGCGAAATGCTGCGGATCAAGTTGCAGTGAATTTCTCACATCGCTGGATGTGCTAGGCCTGGATGGATATTCGAGGAAGGAATCGGGCCTCCGATCGGAGACTTCACGATGAAATCGTTCACATCATTCCGTTCGAAATAGCGTCAGCGGCTGCTCGGGTGCAAGGAGAGGGACATCCACTGGAATGAATTGTTCGAGATTTCCTCGCATCGAATGGGATCCAGCGTTGTAGTTTGCTGTGTTCGTGTTTTCTTGTCGTCCACGGCTGACGCGGACCCCCCGATGGGAGCGGCGTGTTGGAAATATTCTCGATGTGGAGCTCGGAGATTGCACTACAACGGCAGGGAGCGGTGACACGACGACAATAATTTAGAGGAATTATAATGACATGGAACTTCGCGTTGAGTCCCGCTAAATTGAGGACTTCATGAGAAACGCGTTCCGGTGACATGAGATTCCGTGTCGAACCGGCGTACTTCGGTCGCCGACGATCGGTTGTTGACAGATGAACGAACGTTCTGACATCTCTATCAAGGTGAAGCGTGTCATTCGAATCATTGAAACGTAAATCGATGGACTTTCATTGGCTTACGCTCTCTTGTCATCGTGATAATTCCTGCCCGTTCCCGCTCTCATCCGAGAAATAAAGCACGAATGCTGAGTTATTCGCGATCGAAATGTTATCATGAAATATTCATATAATATTATGTTCTTATCTATTCTATCTTCTTCGAAGAATAGAGAATATATCTTATTATATAATATATCTTGATAAGTGACCGTCAGAGCACGGCGACTCTCGGGGGGAGCTTCTCTCAATGAGCCTAGCTGATTATTTCTCCGCACTCTCGGGAACGCCTTTGCCTTCCTTAGGAAGATGGCATCAGCGGAGTCGACTCGATTGGGCAAGAAGTTCCACCATTCGGAGTCAGGGTGCTTCGCATCGGATAGCGCTCGCAATGAACGGAGAGTTCGAAGTATGACGTCAGGAATACGAAGAAACAACAAATCCGGATCGATGCGCCCGAGATTGCCGCATGGCTCTTTCCGCGACAAATCCCTGACTTTGTTCCGATCGCCCGAACCTCGGCTCACAGAAACTCGCCGGATGGGAATTGCCTCTTGATAATGGGCAAGGCCGGGAGGCGATTCCAGCCTCAATTATTTCTCGTTCGAATCAGAACTCTTTTAAACCGAAGCTAGTCCGCTTCCAAGGAATACTGATGTCGAGTGTCGGCCGAGAGAGTAGGATGGCGCCGCGCACCGCCCGGCCGGAGCGCATGCGGAGTAATGCGTTCATCAACAATAATAGGAATTTGACAGCGAAAAACTTCCACTGTCGTTCTAAATTATCCGGTGTTCTCGAGAAAAAGACTCCGTGTATCACAGGGGCGACACACACATCGGTTGTAAAGAGGTGATTCAGTGAAGCCCTCCGGGTGAGTGAGCATCGCTTCGCCGCCGGCGTTTCCGTGATGATTTTGTGGTGCGGTCTCTGCTTGGACGCCCCCTTAGGAATAGATCTCTGATATGTCATCTATGGAAACAGGTTCTGTGGGTAAAGACCTCAGCCTTGCTGCCTCTCGATCACCATTGACACAATCGCTTCTCGGAGCAAAGTCCACAGAATGAGCCCGAAGTTCGAATAGATTGTCTGTCTCGTAGCCCCCGCAATGGACCCCACTTCTTCTCTGGGTTCGGAATGATTCCCGAGCTTCCCCGTACTATCCCCGAGATCCACCAAGACAATGCGTCACCTGGCTCAAGGGAAACTCATGTGCTGAATTGAGTCCCCCTTAGACGTGTAGTCAGTCCCGCACCTGGCTGACTCCGATTTCGAACGATTGTATCCCCGGTCTCACGCAGTCCGAGTAGAAGGTCCTGATTGTTGATGATACCTTGGCACCGAGAAAACTTGGGATCCTCGGCAAATCTCGAAACAGTCGATCTCCAGTGTATCCATCTGACGAGGGGACTATCAATTGTAATAAGAAGATTCGATTGCGCTTTCAGCGCGCTTCCGTTGGTGGAAAGATGGCATCGCTCTTCGAACAATACGAGCAGCAGTCATCTGGAGCCGCTGGTCGACCCAACCGGGCCCCGAACCCGGCAGTTCCCCAGAATGTAAGTGCGAGTGCGACAATCGACCGTAACGACGATGAATCTTATTTTGCCGGATCACGTCCGCAACCTCTAAGTCCTTAGATCGAGTTCCATAAATCTGATTCCTACGTGGTTCTGATTTCTTATCGTATCCTGGATAATTTTCTGGCTCGGCTTCTTCTTGATTTATCACTTGACGGCAATCTCACGCGAACATTTAAATGTATTCATTGAACGATCCCATCCCCAAACAGCCCGTGGCTAGACTCATGAAATCTGAGCCCGAGACTCCGATGTTCAAAAAGACGAAGGTCGAATTCAGGTAGGCTTCATCCTTCGACTGATGTCGACTTCACGATATCCGATAACTAGATACAAATGCACATATATGAAGACACATGTCGTCTCTTGGTCTGTCCTCATTTTTCCGAGAAATTATAGTCAGAGATTTGTTCGATACGATCGAGCGCAATTCCCGAGGGGGGAGAAAGCGTGTTTTTTCTCTTATTGAGGGAGGCATTCAGAAGGATTCATCGATTTTTTCCAGGCCGGAACAAACTCTGACGCACCTCGTAGCTTGCTCTGATATCCTAGTCATGGGCATGATGAACAAAACATTACTGAAAGCCAACCTGAAAAACTTCGATCAGCCAGAAGGTCAATCCGCTCTCAATCAAAAATCCTGCATAGAGCTTATAGAGAGCATATAGATTAGGTATTTGAAAATTATCAGTCTTCTTCATCCATCGTATTTGCTCCATTCTCAACATCAAACTTCGTTCTCCGGCTTTTCAGAGCTTCCGTTATCACCACAGCTGAGCGGTTCACCAACTCAATACCGACTGCATCGGGTGTTCCTGGACCCACTCGGCAACCACCTGATCGTGTCCATTCTACAAGGGGAGAGCGGAGGGACCAATTTTTACGTCTATCTCGGCGGAACGTCAGGGAAAAGAACCTATCACAAGTCAGTCCTCCAGATTAGGAGCCACATCAGTCGAGCTCATCCATGACCTAAGGCTGGGCAGCTCTCAACATGAATATCCGTCCTTGCTTCAGGTTTATGAAGGGACATCTGGTGACAGCGGTCGCATTCAATCCAGATAACCGCCAGAATGTTTCGAGCGGTTCAATTCTGTTGGGCACTTCTAAAGGTGCCGTATTTGAAGCCGAGCTCGTAGCCGGGAGCGAGAGCGATTGGGGCCGCTTCAACAGCAAGCAGACCCCCGAGAAGTACTGCAAACAGGTGCGGGATCTCCCCTTGCCTGGGCTCGAGCCGAGGGCTAAGCCGTACGGGGCCTCAGATCGGGTCACACATATTTGTTAAAATCTGGGTTTGGCGGGAATTGCAGATCTATCAGATGGAAGACGAGCCCGCCATTTGTGGCCTTCACATGGAGTCTGTATCGGCTCCGGCTCTGCCGATTTGTCAGACAGTAGTCTTCCTCAACACTGCGCGTTTCGTTTACCGCTTCTTCGGACAAGCCACTCCGACAGCAGACGTTCAGCCAGTTTTCGAAAGTAAGAGGCGATGTACTCCACTCCGATATTCATCGAGGGGCGAGCTCCCGAATTTCAGTGCCAGGAGGAAGAAATGTCGAGTGAGCTTTTCCTGCCTGCGGGATCTTTATCGGGAGATGGATCTCTTCCAGGACTCTTCAGTACGTCCAAAACCTGGGCCTACAACAACACACAGGAACTTCCGAATCCCACCAGAACGAGCGTTCTGAAGGTTCTGATACCCAGGGGTCAGCCTAATGCCACACACCTCGGATGCCTATTCGGGCCGGTGGGAGTATATCACGCTGATGTAAGTCTGCCTGCTCCCAAAGATTCTTCCTTTGAATCCCCCATTGTATGCGTCGCCCCGATGGACTCAGAAACGGGAGGACTCCTGTCTGTCATCGATATTGATTTCAGAAGAGTGGGGGATCTCCGTGTTCAAGCTGCCTCTCAAATATTACAGCTCATCATCTCGGCGAATTCCGATGGTCCTTGGTTGAGCTTCAGTGAGGATCCGTCTATTTTGGAATTGACGGCCCAACAGGGCGAAGTTTCCATCTCGCAACAGCCCATCGCAATGGTGCTCAGTAATTATCATATACTAGTCCTATTCAATGACAGGTTTGTGTTCATCCGCAGTTCTCGCCTCTTCCATCAACTCGTCTCATTCGGTAGCCATGAATAATTCCTCCAGTCTCCGCTAATTTCAAAACGAACTCTTCGCCAGACTCCGCGTGTACTGTCAGCTCGATCATTCCCTCGTCATGGAAGACGTATTCCCCCAAGGACGAATGGTTGGCCTTTCGAAAGATCCCACAAGTGGACTGATCTGGGCTTTCTCTGAAACCGTAGGTGTTTCGCTCGGGAGCGAAACCTTGACCCCGACGTCTGAGATATCCTCTCTGATTTCCGAGTGCCGAGTTCGATCGATTTCCACCGAGGATCCTCAGTGACGACATCGGGATCGGAGTCTCTCCGCCGAGGGAAGCAATGATGTATCTAATCATGAACCGAATTTTTCAGTCTGTCTACAGGTATAAAGCCGACAGGGAGGACAGACGTATGTGGAAAGTCCTCTTGGCGAAGAAGAGATACGAAGACGCGAAACTCTTTTGCAAAGACGACAATTTCAAGCTGAACAAAATTCGTGTCCGTCAAGCACAAGATCTCTTCAAGCAGGTCGGTATCGATGCGAGCAATCGGCGGCTGGATATATCAGCTAGGGACTTTCATGAGAGGAGAAGAACGCTGCTCCGGGCGGATACCCAAAAAGTCTGATGCTGGAATCGGGAGGTCATCTTGCTCAGAGGATTCGCTCATTTCAGGGGCAGTATGAGCGATCCGCGGAGATGTTTAGTGAGACGTGGTCTTCATTTGAAGAGGTAAGCTTCCATCTTCCCCCGAGTGGTCAGACATGTTTCACACTATCTGTCGTCGCGTTTAAAAATGAATTAATCCTCGGAAGGTTTCATTGCGATTCATGGAAGTCGAACAAGACTCCGCCCTGCGAATAGTACTGAAAGAGAAACTCCTGAAGCTGACTCACGACAAAACTCAGCGACCGCAATTAGTGATGATCGTGACGTGGCTTCTTCAATTATATCTCAATCGGTGGGTGCTCTTTGGTTTGACTCCGATTTTTATAGAGAAAGTGATCGAGTTCTCTCAGTTCCCCCGACTCACATCGAAGTCATCTTCCTATTTCAGGATGGGCCATCTCAAGCATCAGCTCTCGAAAGACGTTAGCGGAGAGAGTCTTCAGGCGGAATTCGACACTCTGGAAAAAGAGTTTCAAGCACTGTTCAGGATGCGACAGGTCAAAACTGCCATCATGGAGAACAAGAAACCGTTCTACAAATTGATAGCCAATCACGGGGATGAAGTAAGAATTCGGAAGAACGCATGGTTCCGGTCACACCTAGCATTATTCTCACACATACGATTGCATTACTGTCAAACATATTCATTTAATCGGCAAACATATTGATAGTATTGTTCCAACAACCTTGGAAGCATAGGCTCGCAAAGGAGTGCACTCAAGTCTGAGATTTTCGCATTCGCAGCCGCTGCTCCTGGAGTTCTCCAAGATGATGGAAGACTTCGGTCACGTCGTACAGCAGCACATCCAGCACAAACGATTTGAGGACGCCTTAGATGTTCTTGTTACTCAGAGGTCAGCGATATCCACCAGAAGTCCCATCGAAAACAATGCTGTGTCAGGCCTTTCCGATTGAGATACACCCGCGAATTTGATATCTGACTCCGTAGGTCTGGTCTTATAGGTCTCCCGAATTGTACTACCGATTCTCACCTGAGCTGATGATACAGCTTCCGGAGCAGCTGGTCGAGGCCTGGCTCAGAGAAAACTTGGATCCCGTGAGACTGATTCCGGCTCTGGTTCAATACTCTGATGCAGACTTCGATCCTCGAGCTCCACAAATGTTGCAATCAATTAGGTGGGTTTCGTCGTCCCCTCCGAATTCATATCCGTATTTATTCATTATCGAATCCCCCGCCTGTGTAATAATACTAATCAGCTTGAAGCATCGAACAGGTACCTGGAATTTTGTGTCAACGAGTGTATGTGTGTTGATGAATCGATACACAACTATCTGATAGCTTTGTATGCGAGATTGGGTGATTCCGAAAAACTCGAGGAGTATCTCGCTGCTCAGGTGAGAAGCGTGACTCATGAATTTCTGTGTCTCCGAAGTCTTGGCTATAGCATGTGAATCCTCGCTGATGAATTTCTCGCGGTTCCTCCAGGGAACGGACATAAGTTTAATACCTTACGACCCGAAGTACGCGCTCAGGGTCTTCTCGGAGCTGAAGCTACTTAGAGCATCCATCCATATTTACACCGTGAGTACCCAGCCGCCGCGTGTCTCGATGGACAAGAATTTATGACGGATTCAGTACCCTGAGGGAGGTTTACGGAAGGATACGATTGCATGCAAGTCTGTGACATGGAAGCATTCTCCGAACGATCCATTCCACAGGTCATGGGGCTCTACGCAGAGGCCTTAGAATTATCGTTGAATGAGCTTGGCGATGTCAAACGAGCTGAAGAAATCGCGAACGTTCCTGAAGACGACGACATCAGGAAGAAACTCTGGCTCATGATCGGTAATCTCCCAGAATGGATTCCCGCCGATTCCCTTTATCTCTAAGTATTCGTTGAAGTCGAAATTGGTCGTGCATGCGATAGCCAGAAACAAACGCTGAGTCCTTATGCTACGAGAGAGTCCCTCCGGTTTCAATCGAAGCTGGGGTCGATTTATGATGCGGACCACTGAGATATGTCTAATTCATCGCAGCTAAGCACGTCGTCAGCGAAAAACAAGACATCGGTCATGCAATGAAGTTCCTGCAAACTTGTGATCTCCTGAAGATCGAGGATATCCTCCCATTCTTCCCCGAGTTCGCCTGCATCGATCATTTCAAGGAGGCGATATGCGAATCGCTCCAGAGCTACAAAGGCGTGATCAAGGAACTCCGCGACAATATGGACGAGGTAACACATCGGGAACCGTCGACCATATAGTCCTAGTATGCCGCGGGTCTGCACACTCTCCGCCAACGATCACGCGGCCTCGCTCGAGTGATGCGATTCGACTTTTTCTCATGAGCGTATGAATTTCCCTAGGCAACCAAGGCAGCCGATGAAATCCGTCAAGAAATCCAGGAGGTCAAAAATCGCTGTTTCGTCGTCGATCGCACGCACAAATGCGCTTCATGTGGATTCGCTCTCCTCAATCAAGTAATTTGCTCCCGCTGATTGGAAAATGGACGGAACAGAGATGACTTGGGTTTCTGGCCCGCCGATCTCATCTCTCCGTGTCGGATACGTTTCAGGCTTTCTACATTTTCGCTTGCTCGCATCGTTTCCATGCCAGCTGTTTGCAACGAGAGACTGTTCCTTACCTCAAGTTGTTGGAAGCTCCGAAGAATTCGAACGTAAGGCCCCTTGCGAAGCGTTCGACTATGTTTAGCCTCGAGCGAGACTCGCGAATGACTATATCCTCGGGATTTTCAGTCTGAACAGGACTCGACCGATAATCACGAAAACTCATCTTCGAGGAGTTCATCCCAGATCGGTCACAGCGAGAAGGAGAGAACCCCCAACGACGTCGCCGCGTCTGAGTGTCTCTACTGTGGAGAGCTGATGGCGGAGTGAGTGCTGTTCATCCTTCTTGTGTATTGCCGTACCGCCTCATCCCCGCCGGGCCAGCTCCGAGCCGGAGCGCACTCTGTGTGAAGCCTCGTTGGATCGCGGAGTTCATAAGGAGTTCTCGTTATAACACCCGTCTATGTTTCAGTGCTATAAGCGTCCCATTTTTCGCGAGAGATGAATACGAGAAAGTACGCCGTCAGTGGGTTTGAGCCTTGGACTCGCTACACAAGTATGCAGCTTTCCGTGAAGATCTGAGGAACTTTGCACGGAAGAAAGTTGCAGTATTCTCGCTCGACGGGAAGGTACCGGCAGGAGGTACGCGCGACATCGTGGAATGCATCCCGCCTCCATCGTTGCTCCCTCAGAATCGACTCCGTCCCAAAACTGTGTCTCGAATAGGGTTTTCGTGAATTGGAACGATCAGCTCTCATCAAGTATCTAGTCGAGCCCGATCCCTGTTGCAGTTTTCTCCGAAAGATTTAATCGCATACCCGGTGATAACAAATTTTGAAGAGGAAATAAATTTATTGAGAATGGTCACCAGAAGAATCTCTTCATTTACATACGTCATCTCTGATGCCATCTCCACTCTCCCGAGCTCTCTGTCGAAATTCTCGAAAATGTTGAGTCAACTTCTACAAGAACAATCTTTGGAAAATTCCTTTTGTCCAGCGCATAGTGTACTCCCCCACGACCTCCTTGCCCAAATCTGATCGAAATTCTGGTGGAGTCGCCTGCGCAGCGAACGTTCCGCCGCTTCTGCTCGCAAGCCTTCTGTCATCTTGACTAAGTGAACACTGTCGTGAGGAAGCATTGAGACTGTCATGAGTTTGAGCATTGTGAGTGTCTAGAGCCTGAAATACCGGGAGCCACCGCAGCACCGCGCCGCCGTAGAGAATCGCTCGGGCATTCCCCGTTCGGTTGGGCAGAACATCGACGCTCACAAGAACAATGTGCGAGGAAGATTTGTGACAGAGAGGATACCTTTCGTCTTCCCGGAACAAAGCCTTATAGGATGCTGACATCGTGTTCTACCGACGAAAAGTCTGAAGTTCTGAACTAGACCCTCCTGGCAACGGTATATGGTTAGCCCTTATCGAAGCTGGTTGCATCCACGGGAAATGCTGGGGAGCGGTAAACAGCTGACGATGACATTAGAAACGTGCGGGGAAGGCCCTCATTGATCCCGGTGTCTTATGTGATTGTCGAGTCGTTGACAGCTCCGATTGAATCATAGAAATCGCCAAATTGTCTCCATTCTGGCTTCGAGTCTCGAACGGAGCAGGTCACGGCGAGGGCGCGGCACAGAGCCGTCGGAATGCTCGTCATAGCCTCCTTTTACTCGTTCCGCGCACTTTTCATGATGAACAATGATCGTCTCCAGGATGCGGGAGAATCCTCGTGTTTCGCCGATTTTATGACCGAATGACAATCGAGGGAAAGTGTGTGGTTTACGCATGCCTAGGACAACTTCGTACCACTAAGCAGGAGCGTTTGTGACAGCGAGCATTGTCTCCCCGATTCCACTTCCGAGATTCAGGTGAGCTCGGAGATCAAGCGTGTCTTGTACTAACCTAATCCAGAAACGGGAAAGTTTTTCTCCAAGCCGACCACCAACATTCGATTGATTTAGCGACTTCTCGTTGCCGCGACAAACGTCGGCGTTCTATAGTTCAAGGCGCATTCACAGCTCACTGTAATCAAGGGCTTGGCGAAAAAGCTTCACATGTGACCTTGTCGAAGGCCGTTAGACCGGCTGGCAGTCGATCAGATCGCTGATCGGGTGGGATGTTGTCGCATGTAGAGGTTCGTGGAGGAAATCTCTTAGAATTCCTACCGCGCGGAACCGGCTCTGAAGTTTTATCTCTGGAAAGCTCCGGAAATCGGGCGACAACTGTGAGCTGTTTTCGACCGCAGCTTCGGCGGCTGACCCCCTGAATGAGGTCTCCTTGAGAGTGATCGGGGAAAAACAGATTCCTCGGGGATGGAGAATCAGTCATTCAAGAGCGAGTCTCCGGAGGGGCACATTTATTTCGAAGCTTTTGGGAGGAATTAGAAAATCGACATTCTCACCTTCAGCTCCGGGTGCACTCCAAGAGAGGAACGCGAAATCGGTTAGAGATAAACTCGGCGTACTTCGGGAGCTTGAAGAGCAACCAGATCGCCGGATCTCTCGGAGATGTTGGAGCCCTCATACGATGAGTGATAGAAAATACCTAAATGTTTGTGCAATGCAATTCCAGAAAAAGCTGCTGGATTCCGGTCAAGACCAACCGCTCACAGAATGGACAACCCCGCCTTGAATATACAAGTAAGACAGTCCGCTATATATTCGTTCTCACCGTTCATCTACGAATTTCTGCTCCTTGTGATGAGTTGATCGGAGATTTTCCTCGAGCGATTCAGCTCATCACAATCGACGAGGAATCGGTGGTGTTACAAGATGATCAGCTTCTCCTTTCGAAAACATTTCGTAAACCGCGAGGGAGCGCATGACTCATCGCATATTTGAAGTCTGCGTAAGCTCGTCCTTGTCCGAACGTTCAGAGGAGCGATTGTGACTCCCTTCTTGATCGTCGAGATCACAATGATGTACTCCACGATGGATGAAGTCGCTTCCCTCCAGGAGGTCTCTAACTTCCCAATCCCTCTGTCAATAAGATAGACGAGAAAATCGGACACGGTCATACCAGGTAGTGTTGAGTACCCTGCTCCTATCCTTCCTCTTTTCGAATCGCACGAAAGCCTCATATTGGGAGTCGGGACGAGCCGATCGGTGCTGAGTCTTTTCTCCAAAGTATTGGATGCGGCGGCAAGGTAGAGAAGAGCTTATTTGATGCTTCATCGGTGTACATACGTTTTTCATGGCATTCCTGGTCTCGCAATAGAGTTCCCGGAAGGAAGGGTTGACTCTGAGTGCCTTCCATCGGAACAGCGTCTACACAGTCATTCAGCTTTTCGTGGCGTGAAGCATCAGAAAGCATCTGATTGCGTCAGAAGGGGAAGTCTTAGCAAGATCATTTGATCCCAGACAAGTCGTCGTTTTTCTGGGTCCGGTCATCGACCGAATCTTACCCCTCGATGAAGGAGGCGGGAATGGCAAACGAAGGGAGTGAGACCCCACGCGGGGTTTTGGGAACACTTGCGGGCGCAGGAAGTCACTTGAGAATGGTGAGGGGGTCAGAGACCCTCCGAATGAAAACCTGCTCAGTAATACGATACCAACGAATACTGAAAAACCCCGGCACTCGGTTCCAGCCTGGGCGTATCCGTCGAGATAGTATTCAGGGATTTCTAGTGGACATTCGATTTTGATAGATTCAAGAAAAACACATCTGAGTCCAATGTACAAGCTTCCCGTTTTATTCCTATGAACATTGCCACTGTCAGAAGTATCCGGAGAATTATGAGGCGTCGGGCACCTCTTGAAGTTGATCATCGAGAGACTCCATTGAGACATCTCATAGGACAAGAAACCACCTCAGATCCACACGTTCCGTGGTCAGAATTGCACGTTATGAGACTTCCCCCCCCCCCCCGCGTAATTCAGAATTCCACCCTGGCCCACCGTGAGAGTGGTCCGGGCGCGGCGGTGCTCTTCGCGCATATGTCGGATTTGATCAAATACACTTTGCCGCAATCCGTCACCGAAGTGATTTTCCCGAGGGCGGCGACAGACTGCACGACCGCAGGTAGACTGTTTGCGGGACCCTCCGCGACCAACAGCTTACCCGTGAGCGCGAAGCCTCCGTCGAGCTTCACTTGGTCGACCATTCGAAGTATACTCACTTGTCCCGGGGTGCCCTCAAGAACGTGGCTCGACGAGTCTCCCTTCACGGTAATCCTTATGCACTCGTCGAATCCACAGCAGATGCTGGCGTTCTGATGAGAGTAGGAGACGCCACGTTTTTCGGCGAGACCGCCGAAGTTTATCAAATTCGCGTTCTCGCCCAGTGACCGCAGGACTCCGATAGTCACCGTGGACGAGAGGAACTTCGCCTGAGCTGCGAGCCTGTCACCGCAAGTCTCCATAGTGATGCCGATCGCTGAGGATCCGCTGACTAAAGCTCCGGCAACTTTACCCAAGTCGGTCGCCAGCTGAGCGATGAGACGGTTCTCAGCCGCCTGAGACTGCGCCAATAGCGGTGCATTGACCGCACCTGCGATTCGGCGATCGTCCCGTAATGCGACGAATTGTTCGGCAATCTCTATGGCGACCCGAGCTTGGGCCTCCTTCGTATTCGCCCCGAGATGCGGTGTGCAGATCACTTTAGGATGCGCGATGAAAGCGGTGTTTTTCGGGGGTTCTTCTTCGAACACGTCGAAGCCGGCGCCCGAGGCCTGGCCCGACTCCAAAGCTGCCAAGAGGTCATTTTCGTTGACGATACCGCCACGAGCGCAGTTCACGATTTTGACTCCTTTCTTGCACTTGGCAAGGGTCTTCGAGTTGATCAGGTCCCTCGTCTGTGGAATGAGCGGCGTGTGCACCGTGATGTAATCGCATTGCGGCCACAGATCGTCGAGACTCATCGCTTCGACTCCGAACTCAGCGGCCGCCTCTGCAGGGATGATCGGGTCGAAACCGATGGTCCTCATACCGAACGACTGCATTCGAGTTGCGACCTCCCGTCCGATTCTGCCGAGACCCACGATCCCGATTGTTTTTCCATTGAGCTCGTTGCTCATGAAATTTTTACGATCCCAACGACCGGCCTTGAGGGAAGCACAAGCCGCAGCGATGTCCCTTGACAGCGACACGATCAGTGCGCACGTCATTTCGGCGGCCGACAGCGTGTTGCCTCCGGGAGCGTTAATGACGAGAACGCCGTTCTTGGTTGCCGTTTCACAGTCGATATTATCGACCCCGGTTCCGGCGCGGCCGATAACCTGTCGAGGAAAGGGTTTATCGCTTAGAATACGCATGGAACCCCCTCCGTTTTAGACGTGTCCGTTTCATGGGGAAATTCCACCGCAGCTATGAAAACGGCTTTCCCGTGAAGCAAGCAGAACGTTTGCTGAGAACGCCGGATCCTGCCGTGGGAAATCTCGACGGGACCGAGATCCGCCATTTCGAAACCAGAGCAATTGTCTCTCACAGAGAATCGCGAGAACTTTCTCTTGTCAGAGGAAGCAGCGAAGCCCTGCGAACTCTCTCCGGAATTATTCTTGTTGGAGAGTTTCGGGCCGCTCAAAGTTCCGGCCTTCGGTTGGGAGTATCCCGAATGTGACTGCTTCGCCGCTAGAAATCGAAATTCTGAGAGTTCTCACCTTCAGATCGGGAGCGGCATTGATCACTGCGGCGGTGACCTTCGTTGCGCTTCGGACGACCAGAGCGTCGAAGTTCTTGATGTTTTCCACCAGTTCCTGAGGAGTGTGGTCGGTCTTGACCGTCACTTTACAGCCCGCTTTCGTGAGGATCTCGGCGCATCTCGGGTCGCACGAGTCACTGATCAGAACGCGTTGAATCTCCATTTTCCACTAAGAATGGGTCCACAGGAGTTTTTGACAACAAAGTAGCGGCGCGTACACGTGGACTAACTGCTGTCGACTCTATGGGCTCTCTTCGACAGCGCACGGCCTTACTCTAGCTGTCTGTGGCGTCTGCGGTAGATCAGGGAAGGGAAACGCGTAGGGCGCTTTGGCGGTCGGGCCTTCGGCGCTTCCGAGGAGGAAGCGTTGCCTACGAATCTCAAAACGACCCCGCTAGAAGAAAACGGGAGCCCGAAAGGTCCGCTCTCTCCATAGGATCGAGCACCACCCTTCTCTCGAGACACCCACACGTTGTGATCGATTTCCTGTAGCTTGGGCTCCGGCACCGTTCCACGCGCGAAGCACCGCGATCGAATCTTATCTCTGCTATCTGGAATCCCATCGCGATTAGGTGGTCCGATCGCAATCATCTCCCTGTATCGTCTGAGTTATCTAGCTAAATCCATTATCTTGGGTCACGTCGCAAACTCTACGGAGCAACAGAGATTAGATGAATGAGGAGATGGACGACAAACAGCATCGATTTCGTCACTTTATGTCCACATTGAGACCTCCAGAAAGAGAGCTCCGGATGCACCCTGCTGCTATCACAGAAGGAATAACTTTCGCGTACCTGCAGTTTACTCGCTTATGTTACGTCGGACTCTTTCAGCCCTTGTAGAGCAAGGCGAACTCGAATTCTTCATACACGAGCCATGAGCTCCTTATACGGTCTGTGGGTTTTAGGTTTGATAGCGATCGACCGACGCCACGGCGTCAATCGAACTCATCTACCTGATCACAAGCTCCGTCAAATGATACTCCAGGCTTGAGTCTCGCTCTGAGAGGCACGGGAGAATATACTTCGGAATATTGTCAGCTCAAGGGCTCAAGGGCATTAGTGAAATTATTGTCATCGGAAATCGAAGCTTTCGCGAGAGTTCACGGATTCCGATACAATCCGTAAGAGGAGTTCGACACCGACATAATCCTACTAATTTGGTCTGTAATCTACGATCAACCTCCAAATTCCTTCGCCGGACCGCTCCCGCCGAGCAACGCCTTAATAATGAGACATTCTTAACGTCGATATTGCATTCAGCCTATAAGAAACGACTGACGTTCAGCGTCCGGTGTCGTGTTTCGATATTTCATCAATATCTGACGAGCGGGTTTATTGAAGTGATTTCGTGAAAACTGTGATGTTTATCTGGCGAAGCATCAAACGATTGTTCTCCTTCCGCGTTGAGGTGGATTTTTTTCCATAGCACCAACGAAGACGCCTCCCCTTAGACTAGCGTCATCAGATGATACATTCTGGCGGAAGATGTTTCCAACTCGAAGGATACGAGAGTCTTCGAGATCCAGTGAGCCGATGGTACCTCTCATCGTTCTGTTCTTATTTCTTCAGGAACCCCCAGGATCGCCAGGGAATGAAGATCTCAACAACAATGGAATTCTCCCAGTAAGGGTCGCTCATTTAAACGCGTGATGTCTCAGCGATTGTGTTTCGGAATTATTCTCTCTGTCTATCTAAGTCTGAGCGACAGGATGATATTGAGGAGGAATATAATGTTCACTCAATCAGTTTTGCCCAACGTTCCAGCAGGACAAATATAGCAATATTATCGATGATTCTGGATTGACAGAGGTAAGCTCCGAGTTGTCTCTATCGTGGGAGGGTCCACGGCTAGAGGGTCGCCCGTGAGCGGCATCAGGACCTCATGTCCCAAAGCAGCGGTCTTCGAGACTTTTGTCCCGAGCATCGAATGCAGAAGACAATGCTTACAGATCCGATTGGACACCTTACCCAGGATCAAGGCTCCGCCTCCCTCTGACGACAGACCCAGGACAGACGTCGTCTACAAGGTGGACGATGTCCCACCTTGGTATTTGTGCCTGGCGCTCGGCTTTCAGGTGAGCCCCTGGTTCTGGAGTGTCCACGGTAGGAAACGGAGAATCGTGATTGATGATCATCAGTGTCACTGTCTATCTGCTATTCACAGCATTACTTGACCATGATGGGTGGAGTCATATCTTATCCCTTCATTGTGGCTCCAAAGTTGTGCATACCCGAATCGCATCCGGCGCGGGGTATATTAGTCTCGACGATATTCTTCGTATCGGGGATCGGAACTCTCCTCCAGGCAACTTTCGGCGTCCGGTGAGTCTCTCTCCCAGAGATGGCTTCTATTCATCCGCTCGCGTATTACCGTCGGCAGAGATTTCTCGTTATCGTTCACTGATGTTCCGCAGATTACCGATCATACAAGGGTCGACTTTCACGTTTCTCGTACCAATCATCGCTATCATGTCCCTTCCTCAATGGGAGTGTCCGGACCCGGAGTCGATCTCAAATCTCACGATGACCGAGGCCGATGAGCTTTGGATGCCGAGAATGCGTGAGGTGAGAGTCGGTTCCAGAGATGGCCCAATTAATGAAATACCCCTAAGCCCGGCCTGAAAGGGACCTCTCGGATAAAGAATTTCTTCTTAGGTGTGAGGGAGATAGGGAAGGAGTAAGGAAAAGTCACTTTCCATCATGGTGCCCACGAGACACGGAAGGTCTCTTACGGGCGGGACTTTGTGTAATGATGTCATAATGCATAGGTGAATCGAAATCAGGCAAATGATCGATTTGATCGAACTGGATTGACTTAACAGATTCAGGGAGCCATCATAGCTGCCTCCGCCTTCGAATTCATCGCAGGACTCGCGGGCCTTGTTGGTCTATTGCTGCGCTTCATAACCCCACTGGCAATAACTCCCACAATCGCCCTCATCGGTCTTTCCTTGTACCCAGTCGCCGCGGAGCACGCACAGACCAACTGGCCTATCGCGATATTGTGAGAACATGGAATGCAACCATCATGTTTGAAGCTTGTCTTCTGATCTCGATACGGAACATTGCATTATCCTCGAGTTTTCTCAAATCATCGCATGTCCTTTCGGGTTTCCAGGACATTATTGCTTGTCGCCACTTTCTCGCAGTATCTACGCGACACCGCTGTTCCCGTTCCGTTCACAAAGTCCAAGGACGGACGGACGAAACGATTTGAAATCTTCAAAGTTTTTCCGGTTAGCCAAATTATTTCCCGACGAATTCGAGGTCACGATGTCTATGTCATATTAACGAGGTCATACGAGGTCATGCGATTTTTCGAACCATTCTCGCGGACACGAATCTCTCATAGATCTCCGATCTGCCTGATTCAGGTGGTTCTAGCGATCGGCCTCATGTGGTTTTTGTGTTGGCTGCTGACCGTTGCCGGTGCGGCCCAGCCTGGAAATCCACTTCGGACGGACCACAAGATTGAACTGCTTCGCGGTGCGTCCTGGTTTCGAATTCCCTATCCGTGTAAGTACGATCTCATCGGATCAAGCCATGACTCAGAGGGAGCAGAGAGCGATTCTTCTACCTGATATCGTCGTCTATTGAGTATACTCGCGGAGCGCAATGTGGCGGTCCTGGAGGGAGAGTCTTGTGGAGGGTGCACGGTGGTTGAGACGCAGGCTATGGCTCGAGACGGAGTGCACCTACGACTGTCAAAGGTTTCCAGTTCAATGGGGTGCGCCGACTTTCACGTTGGGCGCTATCGTGGGTATCCTTGCCGGAGTTGTCGTCTCTATCGTGGAATCTGTGGGCGACTACCATGCGTGCGCGAGACTCTCGGCTGCGCCCTCTCCGCCCCTTCACGCGGTGAATCGAGGCATCGCCGCTGAAGGAATCGGATCGATAATCGCCGCGACTTTCGGTGCTGGATGCGGCCTGACGTCTTTCAGGTAAATTGTCGCTATATGGCTTCTGGCTAGCTCAACATGGCAATCGAAAGAGTGCCAATTTGATTTGTCGATTTTATCGTTGACCTAGCTTCCCGCAACATCCGTGCAGTGTATCCGCCTTACCATAAAGATGGATCTGCTAATGTTTCAGCGAGAACATCGGAGCTATAGGTATAACGAAGGTCGCATCACGCAGAGTCATTCAAACCGGGGCTCTCATGATGCTCGTACTCGGAAGCTTAGGAAAGGTAGGTCTGAATTATAAGGGAGTTGAGACTCATCCAGCGTCGTCAGCTTATCAGGCCTCGGGGCCTTCCCAGCCGATTGAGCGCCCCGGAGCTACCGGGAGGGAAGTCGTGATCAGCAAGAGGATCTCACTCCAGTCATGTTTTCCCGGCAGGTCGGCGCACTTTTCGTGACGATCCCCGAGCCAATCATCGGGGGCGTTTTCATCGTTATGTTTTCAATGGTCACGGCTGTCGGTGTTTCAAATCTCCAGCACGTCGATTTAAACTCATCCAGGAACCTGTTCGTCCTTGGGTCGTCTCTATTCCTGGGTCTATGCATTCCAGGATGGGTCTCGTCACACCCGGACGCACTAGTTATGGGTATGATTCCTATGGCATTCGGCCCTCCAAATGATCGCCATGGTCAAACAGTATATTATATCGACGTCTGATTCGCGGTAGCCTTCGAGCGGAAATGCGTCGCGATCGTCCGTAAATCTGACCGAAACTTCTCTCTCCATCTCGTAGAGTTCAGTCCGCTACTCTCTCAGGTACTCCGTGTACTACTGAGTACATCAATGTTTGTCGGTGGTTTTCTCGGCATTATGCTCGACAACACTGTACCTGGTTTGTTACTTTGCGAAGCTTCCGAATATCGCAATACAGTAAAATCTCCCTACAACGAACCTCACGGTACCAACAGAATCTGTTCCTTCCGTTGAGAACTCGCCGTAACAAAAAAAATCTCCTACCTGATCTCTATGGCGAGCCAGCCAATGGACGGGGGAGAATAATCGTAGTATTTGAAACTCTCTGTGAGGGTTTTTGTTGTAAGGAGATTCCTCTGTATATTATTATTATTATTATTATATTATACCCGAGCATAGCGATTCCGAACTCTGACTCTCGACATACCGCCCCCTAAAATGGATTAATTGTAGTCATTCTCGCAGGAACTGCCGAAGAGAGAGGTTTGGTTGCTCGGAGAGATCTCGAAGAGCTCGGACATGGGCAGTACAGATCGACGAGTACGTACGATCCACCATTCCTCGAGAGAATGCCAGAATGGACCCGGAGCCTCCCATTCATGCCGGATGTTCAGCGTCACAAGAGTCCACTCGACACCAAACTTTGAGCCCCGATGCGGTCATCGGGGGAAGAGCCGCTTATTGTCTGACTATCTTCCTCAGACAGAGTATTATTTGCTCGTTTCCCTCAGTATTATTATCAACCAAAGCATCCCGATATTGTTTTTCGTGTGGTGCTCCATGCGTTCATTAGCATTGTAAGCCTACATTAGGTCGTCCCGATAAAAAAAATAGAACCAAGGGCGAGATGATTGTCAAGCGATGGGTCGGGATTTGGACTTCGATATTGCGTGCGGTATTGTGGTGATATCGCGATATTGGGCCGCCCATAGAATGTATGCTGCGGGTAATTGTCGACGATGGAGACGACGAACGGCATCGATTAGACCTCTCGGCGGTCTTCTAATTTCCGACAAGAGTCGATGATTCTCGTCTGAACTCGAAATGATATCGGAGTGAGCCATGAGCTCGAAACTCGGACTTTATTCGGTATGGATCGGCGCTCGCATCGCACTCAACCTTCCATGTTTTAACGCTGGGCGAAAATTTTATCCAGCGCTTTCCCAACTTTGTCAAAAAGCTCGTGGAGTCTCTGCATGAGATCATCGACAATTTTCGCCACGTCGATATTTCTCACTTTCTCCATGAAAACTTCGAAGGGAGTCTGAATCATCGTTTCTCCTTGGCTTCCCGTCCCGACTCCATCTCTCGCGTCACCGTGTCCCCCTTCGTCGCCTACAGCCTTCTGCTTGTCTTTCGCATCGCCTTGGACTTTCAATCCGTCCGAGGACTTCTCTTCTCCTAGGCTGTTGAGGCTGATTTGAGCTTTCGAGCCGCTCATCGCTTTTCCCGATTTGACTTCTTGGCCTTCTACCACGATAACTGCTACCAGCAGGAGTGCCAAGTCTGAGGGGAGGGAACCGTTTTAACGAGCGATAGAGCATCACGAGAGATCAAGTTCATTTTCGGGAAGTATCTGAGGGGAATGTCGAATCAATCCGAGCACTCACAAGCTCTCATGTTGCCTCGAGAAGAACCTCTTTTCTCTTAAAGGCGGAGGATGAATTGGGCTGATGACTCCTCGAAGAATTCTCGCTCCTCTCTATAGGAGTCGACGTTGAGTCGCGATGGTTTTCTTCGTTCGAGGAAGGGCGGTCCTGGAATAATTCAACTCGCGAGTCTGCAGATGTCAGAAACATGTCCAGTACAGATATGGGAGGTATTACGGTGAACTCCAAGATTTTGGGCTTCTCAGATGCAAGAGTAAAGGATTAGACTTCGTAGCTCGCTATCAATTGAGGAGAACGGGCGAGAAGGAGATTCGCGAGCAAAGAGTGAGCGGCATTGCCGGACGGAACTCTAGTGCCGCGCCCAGAGCTCCCCTCTGTTCAAAAGCCGAGGAAATGAATTTCTGAAGTCGTGTGGAACGACAGGTCCCCTTCCAACTGTAGGAGAGCATTTCGACGTTGAGAAGAAATCAAGTCCTCGCTGGTCGAGAGTCCCTCCGAAGTCAGTCTCGAGTCTTGTCGTATTTCGTCCCAGTCCGGAAGAGCCTACACTTACTGTTTGTCCCTCCTACTTTCTTCCCGTTCTAGTGTAGAATAATAGAGCTTGACTCGCCTCACTTACCTCACGGTCTCACGGTATCCTATTATTCGATGCAACCAAATCAAGATCGTTATCTTCCGGGATCGATTTGAGTCCGGGAAGTTTATTGTTTCTGACCTCGAGAGCAATCCTTGCCGGAGATGATACTCATGGACATGCTCTTCGCCAATCGAAGCTCTCCGGAGCGAGGAGAGCTTCCCCCGAAGCTGAGAGGCATCCTGAGTCACGTCAGGGAGCTCCACACGACTCAAAGCCATGAGGTAATTAGGGGGAGAATCACTGCAAGCTGCAAGCACCCGGGAGCTCCGAACTCCGATGACTGTGGATTCGGGAGCAGGGGAGTTGATTCGAATTCGAGGATGAATATGGCTTCCGTAAACTTTGGGGGCCTCCGGCCTCCGCGAGGGTCTCATCGGTCTCATAATCGACGTCCGCGAATTCCTCATTGGTCGTCCAACTGATTGATTGTAATAGACACAGCGCTTATATTCCCGAACAAGATTTTCACGGGATGAGCCCTCGGGAGAGAACAAGATCCCGGAACGGCTGATTGAGAGCCGCACCGGAAACCGCGTAGAACTACGCTCAAGCGATTTTTGTGCAATTCATTCAAGGATGCCGATGGTTTGTTGAGCCCAGCGATGGATAGTTCCTCGACTTCCGCCGCCCTACTTGTCCTACCTCCCTTTTCGTTTCCGATGATATGGAAGGATTTGATCGAGAGCCCCAGAGGCTCTGTTCGCCGTCGTCGCCCCAAACAGGAGAGGCGGAGAGTTCCGAATCAGCGGAATCATCTTGCGGAAGTTCGTTCGACAAATCTCTCGTCGCGAACCCCTCCAGCATGAATTTCCAGTAGCTGCCGCCTCTGAAGAAAAACTGCTCTAGCCAGGAGGGTCGAAAGCCCTCAGGGGTGAGGGGCGATAAGGCCATCCTCCCTCCCTAATGCTAAAGCCTGGACCCCGAGGAGGCGCTTCATCTCCCGGATAACTGGAATAGGCCTCCCCTAGGGAGAAAAAATCCCTAGAATCTACGGCAGCAATCGCTGTTTCTTGACCAAATAAGTCAGATTCCGAGGAAAAGATATCGCTCGCTGGGAAGCATATATCTACGGAGCAGATGTCGACCCCCTAGCGAGGCATGACACGTCGCCAGTCAGCCATTGATTGGACCCATCCCCGAGCACTTGCTGAATCTCAAACTGCTGCGCGCTCCCGGTACTTGTTCGGCACGAGCGTTTCGTTCTAAAAAACATCGAGCTATGCAAGTCATTAGGTACGAAGTGTAAGTCCCTCGTAAAGGCCTGCTCCTGCCACAATGCTATCAGCGCCCGAGAGTCTAGCCGGATGCTTCGCCACGCCTTGCTGAATTCATCAATTCCACCCGAGGTTCCCACATCAAAATCCTTTATTCTAATAACCTTATGTCCGACCGGGGAATGATACGGATAACCAGCGGTTTCCGCATCATCTTCTCGAAATCGAAGCCGCTCCGCAACTCCGGGGGATGGGCAGGAGTCGCGGGACATTTTTCGAACTTGAAAGCCAAGATCACATTTGCCAGAGCCGTTTGCGAATTCATCAGTGCCAATCTCTTTCCTGGGCAGTGCTTCGGGCCATCACCAAACAGCAGGAAAGCCCCCATTTCTGCTGTCAATTCGGGTTCCTCTTTGAGGAATCTCTCCGGCCGGAATTCAGCCGGCTTCGAGAAATAACGCGGATCCCGCATCATCTCTTTCCCGAATATATCGATCGCCATCCCCTTCTCGAATCGGATCCCGCAGACTTCCGTCTCAATCGTACAGAGTCTGTCGAGCTGGAAAGCGAAGGGGAAAAACCGAAAGGATTCAAGGATCAGAGCCTCCACATACTTCAGCTGCTGAAGATCTCTGTACTCCACTTCCCTACGATCGCCGAGGAGCGACCTGATTTCTTCGTAGGCTCTCCGCTGAGCTTCGGGGAACAGCGCCAGGTAGTATACGCTGATGTTGAATGCGAACCCGACAGCATCGAGACCCCCTATCATCAAAAAGAAAGCTTGCGAAGTCATTAGGTCATCCGTGATCCTCGGGTCTTCGCGTTGCAGCAGTAATTGTCGATCGATTATGTCCGCGGTTTCATCGGCAATAGCTTTGTCGAGTCCAGCTCGTTTCTCCTTGAACATGTGTTTTGCGAGTCCTCTGAAGTAATCCATCGTGGGCTTTGGTGGGAACGTGACTCCCGGGACGTATCTGAAGAAGTTCGGCGCCACGAAGAACAACAGGGTTGCCAAGCCTGGCGATAGCGCGATGCGAGTGTGTCTTATAAGCTTGGCGTCGGGATGTTCCACGCAATTGGTGTCCTTGCCGTACGCGATAGCCATCGTGGTATCAACGGCGTAAAGCTTCGCGAACTCGCCGAACTCCCGCTCGAGCTTTCCTCCATTCGCCTCAGCGAGCCTGTTCAGTTTTCCAATCAAACGTTGGGCGGTTAGAGTAAACTTCGTGATCATGGGCTTCATTTTGGCCGTCGTGAAGGCGTAACCCATCGCACTTCGCATCAGCTTCCACTCATCGTGAGACAAGTTCAGGAGACTGTTGTCCCAGATCGGATCGCCCGATTTGAAATCTGAGCCCCGCTTGAAGAACTTGTCGAACTGCTTTATCAGAACTTCTCTGGCGATATCGAGCTCCTGGGTGGCAATACATGGCGTCAAGCCTTTGTAGGTTCCGAAAAACCGACCGTATCGCTTGGCGGCGTAGTGTTGAAAGTCCGCGAAGCTCCGCGTGTTCAAAATCCACAAAATGCGATACAGATAACAGTAGTAAGGCTCGTAGGGAATGCCTTTGTTCCTCCAAAACAGGGACACTCTCAACACTTTGTAGCAGAGCAGAAGGAAGAGAGCTGCGACGAGAAAATACCACATGATCGTTCTCTTCTGGAGCGGAAACACAAAATCCAGCCGACTCGAGGAGGAAAAACAGATCTAACGAGCGGGTGAAATGTCCCGAACCGAAAACAACCGCGCTAAATCTCGATGGGGAAGGATTGACCTCTAATTATTCAGAATGGAGAGAGGGAATCCAGAGCCTGCGATGATTGACCTTCGTTTGCACGAGCGCTCTTTCGAGTGGCCCGTGAGAGTTGACGTAAATTCGAGCTCAGTCGGTTTCTACCATCTTGGTGCGAGCCGTGATATCAGTGATCCCGGGAAGGGAGTCCGAGAGCCAAAGAGCGGAGTCCGTGATTAGGCTCATCTCAGTGACCGCCGCGATTGACATCAAATTGATTGATTGACTAGGGTACCCGGCCGCGCTGCGCCTCACATTTACTATGGGCGCATCCAACACCAAGACAGACATTCTCTGCAAATCACTGACTTCGACGAAACCTGGCTATTCCCAGCTCGCATTCTCCGCTCCAAAATAATCTCCTGCTCTATATTTTTTGTCCATCAGTCTTCGAGCCTCTCCTTCCCTCTCCCGAACCTCTGATCTTCACCCGTGTCCGCGTACGGTCTCGATTTCACTTTTCCCCATGCTGCTCCTCAAATACCCCGTCCTTTTCGTCGTCCATTCACCCTACATTTCCCCCGTCGTCTTCGGACTCTCAACTTCTCTGCCTCTCCCGGTACCCCTTTACTCTTTCCCATCTTCCTCTACTTTTCTACTTTCTGCTCCTCCTCACTTTTCTCGCTCGAACTGTCTACCCGCCAAGCCCCGATTCTCTCGTCTTCCCGTTCCCTGTCACCCACCCTGACCTCTCTTTGTGTTTCTCTCAGCCCGGATCGCTGATCTCTCCCCGTTTCTAACTCCCCCCCTCGATTCCCTTTCCTTCCCTGTCCTTCTCCTCTTCTCCGCTATCACGATTTCCCCGTTTCTCCACTGCTCCCAGGTTTCATTCTGCTTCCATAACTCTCTCGTTTTCCCGTTCCTATTCTTCCCCCGTTTCTAATCTCCTCCTGGCTCTCCTCAATTCTCCCATTTTATTCCACTCTCGATTCCTCTTCTGTCTCCTCTTTCCCTCTCCTCTTCTCCGTCTCCTTCTTCATTCCCAAGTCATTTCGTGATGGGAATTCGAGCGTGCTTGGTGAATTCATTACTGGGACTCAAAATCGGGAAGTGTGAGGGAACTCCCGAAGTGGCCTCGAAGTTCGAGCTCAGTGCTCACTCTTCAGAAGCAGGATCCTTCATCGTTCGAATGACAACGCGGACGTGATCGTGTCATTTCTGTGGGTCAATCGATTCCTCTTCAATGACCACCAGAGCGCTTCCCAGAGAAAAGGAGTGAGCTCCCGATATCTCACCCACTTCAAGAAATCATGGCTGACCTACGATCGCTCGGACCTTGGAGGCCGAGCGGACCCCGAGGTCCTCGAACACGGAGTCATCCTCATTCTCATGAGTTCAGGAGGGCACGAGGGACCTCGCTCCAGAGTACACAGCTTCTTTTTCGTCGGTACCGGAAAAAATCTTCTCCCGCACGACGCGGCGTAAATGTTCGTCAGTACCTTTCTCGGAGAGCATTCGGCAAAAAAAAACGATTTCCGTGATCTCCCTTGGACTGGGAGACCCGAGCGAGTCAAGTCACCTTATGTCCCAAAGGAACACACGTTCCACGATGGATACTTGCGCGAAAGTCCCCTCCTCTCTCACAACCCTAACGGGTGAGTGAAATGGTTGGGTTGGTGGAAGACATTCGTGATCCTGTTCGGAAAACACAATCTTGCACCACAGAACCGATCACCGCACCATCCTCGAGACGCGCAACACAAAATCGGGATTCTCAGTTCTTGCGCTGTCTATTTCCGAGAGAGCGTCTCGTCTTCGACGGATTCCCTCGACAAAAGGGCGAGTTCTTTCTCAAGGTTGGGGAGTATCCGGCAATCAGATCCATCATCATCTCAATGCATGACCGGCTTGCGGAGCGATCGATCAAAACGTTGCCATTACGACAACCTTAATTCCCCGACGGAGATTTCTTAAAACGCTGAGATTCGAGATTTATCTGCTCAGTTTCATGTCAATCTGTCACTAGCATGAGCACGGAAAACGACCCACAGAACAACTCGACCCTCATTAAGTGTCAAGCCCGGCCTGAAACTATGATCGCGTTCTCCACGCTTTCCGATGCGAAGATATAAAGGACGTGAAAATCGACGCGTCGCCAAAGAGATCTCGGAATTTATGGTTGGACCATGAACCTCACGAAATCGTCTTTGCTGGTCGCCATACTAATTGTCGCAGGTGAGATTGCCGCGCGGTGTCATTGAGAAACCTCGATCTAACTGCTTCCGCTCGCTCCGATATATCCAAAATTACAGTTTGTGCTTGGCGAGCTGAGGGACACCACATTTGCTCGTCTCTGAGCGCCGTGACGATATGCGGGTCACACGAACTGATGGAGAGATGTCATCACGACTACCATGACTGTCACCAACTCAGTATGGAACCGCACCATGCGGACAGATTCCCTCTTCGAATAATAATGAATATCGGGCGACACGATATGGGGGGCCACGAACATCATCATCACCATTCGACTCATCATGTTGAATTCCAGCATTCAATAGAAGATATTCACGCAGATGATCACGATCACTACCTGGACGATCATCATGGACTAGAGCACCATGAAGATGAGCATCATGGAGAAGAGCACCTCGAGGAAGATCACCACGGGGAAGAAAACCATGAAGAAGAACACCATGGAGAAGAACACCATGGAGAAGAACACCATGGAGAAGAACACCATGGAGAAGAACACCATGGAGAAGAACACCATGGAGAAGAACACCATGGAGAGGAGCACCATGGAGAAGAGCACCATGGAGAAGAGCACCATGGAGAAGAGCACCATGGAGAAGAGCACCATGGAGAAGAGCACAATGGTCCTGAGCTAGGCAAGAAAGAGCTCGACGGAAAGGGAAATCACGGAGGAGAGCACCATGGAGATGAGCACCACGACGGGGAATACCACGGAGAGGGACACCATGGCGGGGAGCACCACGGAGATGAACACCATGGCGGGGAGAACCACGGAGAGGAGCACCATGGTGAGGAACAGCACTTGCTCGAGCATCACGGAGTGGGGCATCACGGGATTGAGCATCATGGTATAGAACGTGAAAGAGTGATCTTCCATGAGGACGGTGGCCACGGCAACAACCACGTATTTGTTCTCCACCATGGTCTTTACCATCACGGGGACCATCACCTTCACGGACACTACGGACATGATTTCCACGGGCATGATGTACATCACGACATCCATGAACATCACGGACACGACCTTCATGCACATCACGCACACGACCTTCATGAACATCACGGACACGACATCCATGAACATCACGGACACGACATCCATGAACATCACGCACACGACCTTCATGATCATCATGGACACGAGTCCCACGACCCGGAGGCCGTGAAGAAATTGCCTGCTAGGGAGTCGCCTAGCCCGGGGGGAAGAGTTCCCGGGATCTCCATGGCAGCATCTGCGGCAATGTCCGCTGCGATCTCCCCGTTCGGCAAGGATGGACCCCGTTTCCAGTCTGCGGAAGGCGAGAAGGGCGCAACGATTTCCCCGGGTCACGGCCACTCCATCCAATCGCCTGATCCCAACAGCCCCGGCGGAGAACCCCAAAAGGTGGGCGAAAGAGAGGGGAACACCGAGGAAAATTTCCGGAAAACGCATCACGAGGCCACTTCGGGAGATATGAGGGAAACCGCAGATGTGACAGGAGCCATGCAAGAGGATGCACCTGACGACACGCCCGGGGAAGGTTCACGAGATACGCAATCTGAAGATACCGAAGGCAGTCCGTCGACGCCGTCGATCTCAGCGGAAGAGTCCGATGGGCCCGGCGGCGATCAACCGAAGTCGACTCGGGCTCCGACTCCTCGCACATCGGGAGAAGCCGCATACTCGGGGAAAAACTCCTTTCTCCCATATACTTCCCGAGGTCGAGAGAATTCTTGGGAGGAAAGAGCAGAGTTCACTTCGGAGTCTTCGCGATCAGAATCCGCTTCGGAGTCCCCCCCAGAAGAAGACAGTTGGTATAGATGACTTTGGCCCGAGGGAGCTTTCGTTTGGGGAAGATTCGTGGGGTTCACAAAATTTCTTAGAATTTACAATAAACCTGAGTGAACGGTGCTCCGCCTCTGAGTTGTTGCTCTGCGATCAAACAGAGTATCTCACCGATTTTTTCACGTGTGGCTTCTCACGTTAGAATCCCTGGTCTCTCGTCGGGACACGCTCCAATTTCAACCGGCAGCTCCGCGCAAGTTCCCTCCTCGACCCCGTTCTTGAGACCCTCTGGGCTTGTACTAAATTGTACGTATCTGTTGCGCCGTATTTCCTTCGCAAGTTGTATGATATTTCACATCAGCACGGCATAAGCAACGCTCGCGAAGCGTGCCTTAGTCATGGAGCTCCGTCTAAAAGCTCCTGCTCCAATAGCCTCCATTCGCAACCCATAGATATCGAGTGCCATGCAGCTGAAGACTCTACAGAAGCACAAGCCCGGCGTGGTGGTGCTCCCTAGATTGGATTCGCGCCGAATCATCCGTGAAGACGGGAAGGCTGCTGATTACCACGCCGCGCCGGCGCCTCGCTGCAGCGGAGACCCGCGAGAGTTCAAGCCACTGTTCGCGACTTAGACTCGCTTGCACTTGTGTTGTGTAGCTTTTCACGACTTTTGGAATGATTTGATTTGGAGACTCTGTCGAAACCATCATCCATCATCCTCAGCAGAACCGGATCTTTCTATCAGGTCCTGTACGTCTGGCTGTACTCCTATTCCTGGCAACTGAGGGAGTGGTGCCCCATTCGGGAGAAGGCCTCGGGGCGACGTGAAGCGCAAGCCTTCGAACTGGCGGATACAGTAGCTCCTCATTCAGGCCTGACGACCGAGCATCGCTCAAGGGAATGGAGGCCTCGGATCGGACCGCCTACTTGACGCGCAGCATGACCATCAGTGTCTGAGCGGTAACGATTTCTGCCACCGAGAGGAGATCGACAACGAAGTCAGGCCATCGGGCGTATCGTGGTCGTCCTTACGGTCTTCACATGAGTTTGGATGAGCTCTCCGCCCACCGACTCTCGTTATTTCCTCTCGGGATTCAACTCGTCGCATTTCAATGCAGGTGAGCGGAGCGGGAAGAATCCCCCTTTGAGTTCAGAGCAGAAGCTCCAGTGCCGTATGATGGAAAACATATGTCCCTTCACTGAGAGAAGGTCCCATCCCAGAGGGTTGCACAACGACCCGATTCGAGTCCGGGATTCCGAAGTCCATCCCGAGAAAGACGGCGCTCGTGGAAGGTAGAGGAGCCTTCAATCAATCGGTGTTGGCGAAAGACCGGGAGGGGGCTAGGGGATCAGTCGGTAAGGATCTGAACTGGAATGCAGCATGCAAGAGCCTGAAAGCGACTCCGGGAATGGTGAGAACCGATTCTATCACGCGCGTTGCCAGCTGTGAGCCTTCATCATTATAAGTATGACCCCGGAGTCCCCAGTATGAGGGACCTTCCCTTTCGATTCGGCTCCATGCGGAGCGGGGATTTTGTTCTCATGAATACCAGCTTGGAAATTCCTCTCCTTATGCGCCTCTGATTCTCGGGACTTCAGGGTATGCTCATCCAACGAAATCAATCAAAGGATGCATATTCCCATCTAAGGTGCCGCTCCCGCAAGCGAATCCGGGAATATCTGCGAGTCGACGGAGCAGCTCGATGCCCTCTCAATCGACATCTGTGAGGAATCTTCCTTCGTTCTCCCCATCGGACTCTTGGCTAGGAGTTTCTGTTGGATTCGCTCCTAAACGCTCCCGATCCACAAAGTTCCACTGATTTTTCCTTGCAGTCAATCGTCAAATCATATGGACCGCAGAATAGATGCTCGATTGCAGTCGCGGCATTCGTTTTGGGTTCAGCGTTGATGTTTCTTGCCATGACCCAAGCGAGACCGATATTCGATCTCTTGTGGAGAACGACACCGAGTGAAGCGGCCTCGATGGAGTACTGAACTTGCACTCGCATCACGCGAGGGGGGGAGAAGGAAGAAGATGGAGGAGAACGTATTTTTCCCTTACTACAATATATGGGATTCTCAGCGGGAACCCGTGACAAGCTTGCAACGAGACTCTGACTAAAAAGGACTGACTAGGAATTAGCGAGTGACCCGAAATCCGGCTCTGCTGCATTCTGACTCGCTTCTGGACAGGATTATTAATTATTATTATGCATTTTCCACCAACTAAGAATAAGTCAGAGGAGGGGAGGGGGAGTCTCCCAGATTTTCTAGGAAGAATATCTGGCCCTCGATTAGAATGCCAAGTCCTTTATTCTACAGAAACCTACGAGAAGGCTTCCTTCAAGCCCTTCCCCGACTGGCACATTGCTTCATGGTCCTCGCGGACGAAATTACGTGTTTCGCTGTTCAGGGTTCGCGGTATGTACACAAGTCACCGATCTTGGGGTAGTTTTTGCAGATGTCGGCTCTCGCACAGCAGCTTAAGGTGGTGCAGTTCTGGAGAAACGTATATACGTTGTAGACAGCGATTAGCTCCCTTATGAGTTTAAGGCTCCCATTAGAGGCTCGAAGGTTTGAAAAATCTCCGAGCGTGAATTATACAGACCCCTCCTGTTTTCACGCAATCAGATTTTACGAGTAATCCATTCGATAGCGACACCAAAATTGAAAGCATCATGAGGAGCAAAGTCGACCACAACTCCACACATGGCTTCATGATAAACACACAAGGTTCCAGTTAAGTTCTAGTGCTTACTGCCGTATTATGGGCATCAGTCGCAGCGAATCGATATCCCACGGACTTTGATCATTTGGCACGATCGCCCATGGGCTGGGACGCCCGTTTAGCGCGTGACTCCTTTGGTGCACCAACCATTCCTCATCCAGCGATTCCGATTCGTTTCAATCGGATTGGTCACTCCCTTGATCGAGCCGATAGGTATGTAGAACAACAACTGAGAGCTAAATCAAGGACATACGGCAGCCTGGAGCGATTCCAGAATCTCGAATCGCCATCGACGCTGGCAGCGTATCATGAATAAACTTCTGGATTAAAGAGAGGTCCGATATTTACTCGAAGTTTTTGAAAATGAATCAAGTTACAGACGAGATCCTGGTCGAATTCTCGCTGTACTGGAGGAAAACTCCTCATTGAGCCAGGGTTTCCAGTTCCGAAATCGGCGCTGCTGCTGACGATGTTTCTTCCACTTCTTCTACTTCATGGTCGAGATCGTCCTCGATACTCTCACCAGGGTCACTCGGGCCTTTCTTACGCACTTTGACAGCGAAAGCTACTTCAATCACTTGATCGGACTCGGCTGCTGGAGCATCGCCGAAAGCCTGTGCACCAGAATAATCGAATCATGATGTCGAGAGCGGCCCCGAAGAATTGGAGGCTGAGCATTGATCGCGAAGACTGAATTTTTCTATACATCATTTACCTTGGAGTTCCTATGATGCAAGTATTTGCGGGCCATCGGCATGACGCCGCGAGCCGCCATATCATCTGGAAATGCATGCGATGGAGTCCGCGTCGATTCAGCTCTCAAATCCATCATTTCGTCGGATACCATGGATGCCACACAGTCGTCGTGACGACAGAAATCGCTTCTGAGAACTTACTTCGAGATTTACCCATGATTTTTCTCCGAATCATGGACATCGAGTTGACATTGTGTTGGACCACCACCAAGAGTAAAAGCCCTAACGGGACTGCCACCCGAATCATCTCTGGAAGTTCAATTCAGCATAGAGTGATTTCGAGACCTGACGGATGAGAATATCGTCAACTGTATCTGAAACAACAACGGGCCGAAGAAAAACAGTTCCCACCGGCTGCTATTTTCAGACGCTATTTGATTTACTATTTCGGGTGTTCCAAAAGATCTGGCATCTACTCACGACATCGAAGCTGCTTGGGAGCAATGACTCTCTCCTGTGGAAATGTCGATCATCGACATTTACGGTCGGTGTATAGCTCTTTCTAGACCATTTAACACCCGCTCGAGAATAGTTTCACACGGTGGTATTTATTACGATTCGCATTAGGATCTCTTCGTTGAACGAGTGCAATTGTTACTATTTACTTGAGCGATCATCAACCGTCCTCCATTTCATGAAAACTTGAAACCGAGGAAGCCGTGGTGAATTAATTCCATTCTATGATAATGATTCTTCCATGAACACGACCCCATCTTCGAGCGAGAAGAAATCAGGGAAACACATGCTTACAATTTTCATAATTGCAATATGCAATTATTGCATATTTTCTTCACCGATCACGTTCCGTGATTCGTGGAGTATCTACGCAAAGCCGCGAACATGTTCCTTGGTGAGCTTCCTGGATTACTCCCAGGAGCTACCATACTCTGTTACTATGAGAAGAGATTGGGCTGGAAAAGTCCCAAAACACATGGAATTATTTACGACTCGATTCATGGGGATATCGAACCCATGAGTGACTTAGGTAACATCTCTTTTGCTCACAACATTCTCCTCTCGCACGAATACTCTGATGGCACTTGGTACAGAAGATGTGTACTATATCGGAAGAAATACTACTTGAACAACGTTCATGTGCTCCGGTATATCGACAGCAATTTTCATTGTCGGCAGCGACTCTTGTTCCCATGAGAGAAATGAATTCGAGTCCTTGACGCGCGGCTTAAACAAGGCCCATTATGGCCTGGACCGCCTGCTCGAGGTTCCAATTCGTCGTTTCGAGAACAGACTTCGTCTCTGAAAAGGGGATCTCGTCGAGTTTGGCGCCTTCCGCCCGCTTCGCCAGGAGCAGTCGGAGTTTGGCTAGCTTTATCGCTTTGTGAACGTCCCATTCTGTGATGTTCAGAGCGGTCAAGCAGTCTACGGACGGAAGGTTTTCATAAGCCAAAACCTTCTGCATTATATGTACTTCATCTGAATCCGTCCCGCGTTGTCTGCCCTGGGTTCTTCGAGCAGCCGCCCGATCGGTGCTGAAGTCGAGGAGATCCTCGCAACTGACGTGTCTGTCGAGTTTCTTTTTCGGTCTCGCTCCGGTCGGATCGCCGATGTCCATTCGATCGAAGCTCCGAGACGATTCCGCTCTCAGAGACTGGGTCGAATTGGAGGGACGATTCCGAGTCTCCAGAAGAGGCTCAATCGATCGGAAATGGCGAATTTCAGGCCTGCACGGAAGACTCTCGGACGAGCCGAAGGAATGCAACGGAGAGGATCGCAACAGAGACTCGTTGCTCCGTGAAGTGGGACGAGACCTCGGTCTTTCCGGCTCGTGTCTCGGTGGTATTTGCGCCGGTAGCCGCGGAAGAGTCTGGACGACTCTCGCATCGTTGGCGGGGGCTTTGAAAGTGTTGTTGTTGTTGGCATCCTGTTGCTCGTAGCCGGGCAACGTGAGAACCAACGGATGAATCCGGCGGTGGTGTCGAAGCCCTTCGGTCTTGGTTTTGACGGCGGGTTTCGGTGGCAACGGTGGCGGAGGGTCGGTCAGTTCCGCACAATTGGAATAGGTGCGTGAATCCGCTGGCGGACTGTCTTCCAGACAACAGGTCATTTCACCTTTCTCTACGAGAGCTGAATAGACATCCGTAACTTCCCGGGGCAACGCGTCCTGGATCTGTCTGGTGTGCTCGAGCATCTCGGAAAAGTTTTTCTTCTCGTGATGATGGCCCTTGCTATTGAAAATGAAGAAACGCGGACCGTGTTTCCGAGTCGGGGTCGCCACGGGGCTCTGGTCCTGTTGGAGGGATTTGCTGGCTAGGTCCTTGGCGATCTGTATCGCCGTATCGATCGCCTGCTCATCGGTAGGCGATATCGGTTTGACGATGTGTCCCGGACTCTTGTTCTTGATGAGGGGTCGTGTATCCATCACGGTGGACGTCGAAGACGTACTCCCGTCTTTCCTCTGTCGACAGCTCATAGCCAGGGCCGCCACGACAAAAGCGTGTTGATCTGGTTCTTCGGTCCCGCGGAATACCTGAGGAGATGTGGAATTCGGATTAGGAATTTCGCTGAAGGCGGACAAGGAGGGGTCTTGAGCCGGTGCTATGTAGGTACCGTCGTTCATGGGCTTGCGTACTATGAATTCAAAGAATCAGGAAGAAAGTCAAATCGTTTCGGAATTCATCCCGCCGCGCCGCGAGAGCAGAAGCTGCGGCCGAGTCGGGCAAAAAAGAGAACGCCAAACAAATCTTGGGCTTTCACGTTCCTTGCAGTTCTGTTCTGGGAAGCGACATGAAGAAAAATCGTGAGCTTTCCCCTTATGGAAACTTCATAACAGAAACGATGCGCCACAAATTGTCGCGGCTCGTGCGCGGACACGGAAAAACTCGGGCCCTTAGGGCCGCTGCCGCCGCAGGCGAGTGACAAACAACACATAAAGACGACTATCTGGCTCGACGCGTGAACTCGTCGTCGTTTTCGTCGTTTTACGTTTTCGTGTAAGATGATGAGCGTTCTAATGAGAACGCTTTGTTGGTTCTGCTCCAGTCGTCTGTGAGAAAGATCACTTCTCTTCATTTTTTTTCTTCTCTATCACGTCGACCCTTTGCTCAAGTGAGCGGTGAACAAGTAGCCGAGCTCACATCGCGACTGAACAGGAGGAACTACCGCGTCCACCGCTAGCATTGCTGCTGGCCAGTCATGACCGAAGTCGCGACCAACGTTGGCTGAACCATCCAGTTTGCGGAGAGCATTTCGGGAATCGAAATCGTTCCCGCCAACCCCCATTGTGGTTCTCTGACTCTCGCGGGAACGTCGTGGGAGAAGCGGAACTGCCGCATATCAGCCCTCGGAAACACGATACGTGACGCCAACGAGCCTTTAAGGGGACCTGGCCCACGTCTCGGGAGCGGGGAAATTCCGATTTCGCGCTCTTCCCACCAGATTGGTACATCATTTGTCCTGAATGAACGTAGTTCCGCGGAACGTAACTTTTCGACGTTGGCTGAGAGGCATTGTAACCTGCCCAGTATGGGGAGACACTCAAGGAGTTCTATCATATTTCTCCGGACCCATCTCAGCGGATGAGAGTCGACTACGTTTTCGCACCGTAAAGTTCCGGAGCGAGTTCGAACGAACTACAGAGCAAATGAAGCTAAAGCGTCGCGCACGCTCTCCTCTTGTCAATCCATCGGGAGGACCCTTCCAGAATCGGTGGACGATCGAGAACCGAATCGACCGAACCCGAGAGAAAATGAACGTTCCGCTACGTTTCTATGGAAGCGTATCCGCTTCCGACGCGGATCAGATGACTTTTCGGTGAAGCGAGAGGATCATCATCGACGCGGGGACTACTGCATCAATCGATCGATCGGGTGACTGTCTCCACAGAATTCCCTTCTGGGGAAAATTCCAGTCACTCTGCCGCCGTTTTTTTCCGCCGTGCCAAAAACTCATCCATGATATTTGAAAGCTCCTCTCAAATTTCGAATACAAACTTACCTCGTCGCATAAAGGTGGGCCCACGTCGAATGGGCTGAGGTCTTCATCGCTGATCTCGTGGTACTCATGTCTCGATGGAAGTGCGTTCCCAAGGCTCACGGGTGCGACGCGTTGCGCTGCCGGTGGCGTTTGACTTTCGTCTGTGACCGACTGTCTCAACAGAGGCGTCATATCGGAACTTGAGTCCCTCTGAGGTCTCCGGGGCTTCGACTTCCTGCAGGGCTCGCCTTTATCGAAAGGGACAGCATTCGACTGCGCTGGGACGAGCGATGCGTTCGACTCATAGGGAACCGTAGCCGACGCGGGGAAATATCCCACGGTGCCCAAACAGAAGCCCCGCCAGACCTCGGGGGTGCTTTTATCCAGAACGACGATGACGTCCCCGCGGTGGAATTCGAGCGAGTCGCGGATTTGTCGCGACGCGTTCTGCGAATCCGTGTGGGCCTGGACCTGTTCAGGCATCGACGAGTTCAATAGGGCGATCAATTGATTGAACGTCGGTCTGTGCGAAGTGTCGTGAGCCCAGCACTTCAGCATCAAGCTATACGTTTCTCTTGGACACGCTTCGGGTCGCTCGAGTCGTTGGTAATTTGGTTCGTCAATGGCGTTCAAGATCTGTTGTCCGTTGAAATCCTGCCACGGTTGGGCTCCGAAGCTGAACATTTCCCAGAGTGTCACGCCGAAGGCCCAGACGTCGCTGGCCGACGTAAACTTCAGGAAATTGATGCTTTCTGGCGCGCACCACGCGATCGGTAATTTGAGGTTTTGGCTGAAATTCGTCTGATAATAATCTTTGCCAACTCCCAGCGCCCGAGAGAGACCAAAATCACTGATTTTCACAAAATCTCGAGCGAACACGAGTACGTTACGAGCGGCGAGATCCCGATGGATCATCCGTCTGCCCTCCAGATAGGCCATGCCCTCGGCTATCTGGATGGCGAAGTTTGACAAGATTCGTGGGCATGAATGTATGGCGAACGCCGGTTCCTTCAGACATTCCAATAGCGACCTGAACGGAGCGAGTTCGGTGACGAGCATGAGATCTTGGCCCCCCTGTACGACACCGTACAGCTTGACAATGTTCGCATGCGATATGCTGTGCATGATCGCTGCCTCGGCCAGAAAGTCGGAGGCATTCGATTGTAACCGCATCCTGGATAAACATTTCACGGCGACGTTCACACGAGTTCCAACCGGCGACATCCAAACTCCTGAACGCACGACGCCGAATTCCCCGGAGCCGAGAGTTTCGCTGAGGATGATCTGTGACCTCGGTATGAGGTACTGGGGCCCGCTGGGCTCCGAGGGCGGTACTGGCAGGCCCAGGACCCGGTCCTGAATCGGGAGCTGTTTCCCCATCAGGAACTGTCGGATCTTCCCGAGATAGCCATTCGAGAAGTGCTTGTCGAAGTGTCGCTTGAGCCTCCTCTGTTCGAATTTCGACATTCCCAACTGGTTGTAGTGCCGGTCCTCGAGGAGTTTGAGCTGATCGGCCGTGGTGACCTGGAGCTCGTTCCGGAAAGGCTCATAGTACTCACTGAGCTTCGCTTCGACGAGTAATTCATACAGAGTCAGGGGAATGTGCTCTCCGGCCAGAGCCATGTTGCTCGATGGTCAAGATCCAGATCACATCACTGTGCCGTAAGTCGAGGAGTCATCCGAGCGATACGTCAACACTGGTCGTCGTCGACGTCGAGTCAATCCGCAAACAATCTCCGATCGATCGTCATGATGAGCACCATGTTAACGGGAGCAACCTGTGATCAAACTAGCAGACGGTCCGGTTCGCGGTGGTGGCTAAACACACAGCAGTTCTTCTTCATCTTGGATCATGATGCCGGAGCGGCTGCTGCTGCTGCCGCCGCCACTGCACAAACCAACTCTCCAACCAGGCGAGCAGTCCGATCGTCCGTCAGTCGGTTAGTCGAGCGCATGCAGGCAGCCGCCGGCCAAGCACCCGGTCACCAGTGAGGCAGTCAGCATGCCGAGGAGCAAGCTAAGAACACCACGGCCAGATGAGGAGAGAACGCTGCTCCTAGCGCCATCTGCCGGCATGGATGTTGAACCGGGTGACACAATAGCTTGCTCGCGACCGAGGGACATCTGAACGGCTACGAGAATGGCAACGCGCGGCTTCTGACCCGATGTTCGATACTTGTCGAATATGCTCACCGCCCACGGGAATAATGCAACGAGTAGCCGACCGCCGCGACGGTGGCGGATGGCAAGGAACTATCAAGAGCATCGCACTAGCTTCAGCGATCCCCCGGGAATCGTCGGCTGGAACGTGAGCTAGAAAAGTCGCGGAATTCGGATTTGCTGAATGGACACGCGATTGCGACGAATGCTGCGCCGCTTTGGGATGGCTTGATTGTCATCACGCCGCAAACAGAACACACGCACTCGACATGAGTGCTGACCACACCGAGCGTAGATCCCGTGCTGGAAACTCTTTTTCGTGCTCCTGAAATCTCGGTCAATAGATCGCGAGCTCTCCGGGAAGAATTCAGATTGATTCGACGACCAGGCTGAAGATTATCATGGAGCTTCGGAAAAACGTCAAATCCGCAACGATAGTAATAGGGGTTGGGATTTTTCGACAGTGCTTGTCGAATCTGTCCTGTGTTTCTAATAACTATGTCTTGAAGGTGGTCTCCTGACGAGCTACCTCGCACTGCAACAGGGCGTGCCTGACCGAGAGGTGGAACTTGAAGATGAGGAGGATCGTCGCACAATCCGCGATGTCTACTTCCTAATCGACCGGGACAAACATTATCCGTCTTGGTTTCGCGAACCGGAAACGAGCGATTTGGAGCTGCAACCCACTCTGAAGCGCTGTTGCTATTAGCAACGAGCTTCGTGATAAAAGATCTCAGGGTGTTCAGCATCCCGGAATCGAATCCTAACAAGCGAGACACTGAGATGCGATCCCCGCCGATTGAATGAAACCTTACGCAGCTGAGGAATATCCGAGGTGGATTTCGGAAAACATTCGGGTTCCTCATCTCCGGAATATCCGCGGATGAAAATGGAAAATTATCATTCCCAGTCCAGCGAGATGTTTGCCGCTAAAGGACTCGTGTGAGCGAGATAAGGGTCGAGCGGCGACAAAGTCTTCTCATCGCTGAGGGAAATAATCGCTCCATACTGCTGTGAATATCTTACACCCTTGTGTACATGGACGGACTTCCCTGCAAAAAAAATCCAAGTACCTATCTGTTCGGTTTGTGTACTCGATCCCTACGGTTTATTGGTCGAAGGGATCAATAATTTTCTTATTGAAAGCTTCATATGGAAGAGGCTGCTCAAAACTTTCCACGCCGTCCTTTTTTGGTCATGAATCTTCGCGCCCAATCGTCATATTTTAATAGAAATAGTAAGAACTACAAAAGTAGGTAAGGTAACGCTTTTCCTTTTCGCGAACGGGAAACATGTGTCGAGCGAATCCTTATCCACATTCTCCCCGAACTCGAGAACGATCTGCGGGAGCGCTTCGAAGAGACCTCCGGGGCCCAGACGTCGCAATGGCGATGAAGTCCTATGTACATCGGATGGTGCAGGAATCGGGGGAATCGGTCCGTCGATGATTTATCTACTCGTCGTAATTCACTAGACGTGTTGCGGGTCGATCATCCGATACATACGCGATGCGGTAACTGGAACCAGAGCTCTTTGAGGAGGTGATTCGGGGAAAATAAATCTTGAGCACCTGAGAATCTCCCTTCCTCCCCTCCGGAACTCCGAACGGGAAAAGAAAAATTTCATGCTCAATGGCTGAGTACGCTTCTTCAAAGCCTGCGGGTCGAACATGGGAACCGGCGAAGGGGCGCAAGAGCCGATGTACTGTCTGAATGGACTGACAAGTTACCTTGTTGTTATTACGGGTCTCTCATTCCCACCGGCGAGATTCATTTTCTCCGCCTCCAGGTTCCGTCTCCGAGCGATTATGCTCAGCGATTGTCGCTCCGACTGCTTGAGTGCCGCCCCTAATGACGAGAGAAATCTTTGTCAAGCCTACGGTACCGCGCAAAGACGAGTAGCTTCAAGTCAAGGTTACTCACGTAAACTTTCTTGAAGATCCCCTGAGCCGAGATTCATGACTTGAGCTGGGAGTGCGGTCGACGATCCGATGCATATTGCGATGCAAGCGACGACGAGGACCTGTAAGCTCTTCGCAATCAGTACCGACATCGACCTGCTGAAGCATCGAGCGTACACTCTCGACTGAACATTGTACTGTTGTACTGACATTGCCCCGGAACCTCGATCGAGCCGAATCATTCTCACATGGCAATGGCACTTCTGACTTCGCATGATGGAGGACTCACCCACGAGAGATGCATCTTGGAGCTCGTCGCTGTTCGGTGAAGACGGATGACGAAATGAGAGCGAGTCGAATTAATGCGGAGCGGAAAAGATCGCGGTCAAGAGTAAGATAGGTAAGAGGGCATCAAGGTCTACGCGTTCTCCAACAAAACATGAGACGATTAAGAGGCTCGACCTTCGTATGACGGCTGCAGAGCATGTCGCGGAAATGTTGTTTGTCTGAAACCGTCGCTCCCGAAATTGTCAAGATAGCATCAGATCCCACGGTAAATGATCCCGGAAGTGTCGAATTCCGAAATCAATTTTCATCGACTTGAAAGTCTGGGTCTTCCAGATGGAATCTGATGCTGATCTGTTGCCTTCTTCGCCGGGTGAGCCTGGTCCCATCACGTCAACGAATATGCTTCGAGCGGGATTAGTCGAGAAAAATCGCTTCTCGAGGATTTCTATCTTGGTGATCAAACGCGCAGCCGACGGAGTACTTCGTTCCCATTTTCCATCAACTGCGCCCATAAATGGGTTCGTTTGGTTCAGAGAACTGACTGGATGATATACAATCTATGATTCTTTTCATCCGGAGAGGAGTCGGGGGCGCAAATCATAGAATTTCATGGTTCCGGGCAACAGCTTGGGCATATAATAGGAGGAAAAATTCGACATCCGACCGGGGCAATATGTCTTTTGACCGAAAAGGGGCTCCTTCCACCGCTCGCCTTGTCCAGATTCCAAGTCTCTCTCGCCGGTTCAGAAACGACGTCTGTCGACACTTAGATTTGGGATTTACTGAATGAGTGGGGCTCTCTGATAAAATCAGCCCTGAATCGATGAGCAGTCACCTCAGTTTCGCGAGAGCGTGTGTCAGGGACGAAGCTCCTTTGCTACGCAGATGCGGGAGTTGCCTCGAACCCATCCGTACCCGAGAACTCTCTTTCCATGTTTCTGTCACGTCATAGATTCGAAAAAGTCGAATCGATTCCGGGAGGTACGAGATCTTTGACCGTGTGCTCCTATTATAGGCCGGATACATCTAGACAAAAGGCTGCTGCCCCTGCAGACTCTGCGGGGAATACCTCTTGGACGCCTGCTCACTGCTGGGAGAGGGAAGCCTCCAAAGGAAAGAGACATCGACCGAGGAACGCACATGGATATGGAACAATCCACTTAGACGAGAGGTTGCATATATGTAATTTAGTCTTTCCGTTCCTCCTGCTCAACAGCGGCATCACCGGTGCTGGTAATGTGGGTGACATTGGGAGTCTCGCTCCCACAAAAGTGAAGATTCAGAAACGGCGGGACTCGGAGTCTGTTTTACGCAAGAATCCCCATCACAACGAAAGGCCGGCTGCTAAGACGAGCGGCGCATCGCCTACGATCCAGAAGTTAGCTAGGATGCTACATAAATATGATCTCGCTGAGACTCCACGAGACAATCACGTGCGATCTCGCTGGGTTGTGACTGTCGTGACTCCTTCGGCAAGTATCGGAATAAATCCCCCAAGCCCGGATGGATATCGACGAGATAAATGACTCTCTCAGAGCGTCTTCACGAGGCGCAAAAATACACGTAATCGAGCCGGGCAGTCGTCAGTCGACGTGACTTTCTGAGTACGCATCTTGGGCGCTGAAGGAGAACGAAATCGAGTTCTGAGGAATGGAGGTGTTTTATTTCTGGTTCAGAAGCGAAGAACGACGATGACTGATCTGTTTTCAGAGCGGCTTCTCTTCCTCAACACGCATGGCGCACACCCTCATTTTCCAACCGACATCCTCTTGCGCAATCCTTCCGTTTTTATATTAATTTCAATTTGATTGATTCAATTCACTAGACCTAGAGAATGGGAGACAGCCAAACACCATCTCTCCGAAAAATACTCGAGCACGCCAACGTTGACCGGGCTTTTCGTCAGTCTCATGCATCCGTCATTCAACTTTCAACCAATTATAAGTACCCCCTGCACACTAGACACGCGAGAGTCACGAACCAATGTTTTCCGTGTCTCCGAAATGTGAGCGTACCGAATCGTGTCTCGCTCTTTCCGTGTTCTCAATCGGACAACATTTTCGTATGAATTTGTTTCTGATCAATTAGTTCAATAACTACTCGAGGTGGTCGATTACAGCCTTGTGCGAGCCGCGTCTACTTCTGTTCCTTCTCGAGTTTCAGACGGAGACTCTCGGGCATCTGAGGTGGTGGTGGGCGGGGGAGGCGGAGCGCCACCTTGACCGCGTCGTAGATGAACCATTGCAGGGCGGTGAGCGTACCGATCATGATGATACGAGGAACGAGACCCTTCCAGAGACCGGCGAAGCCGAGCTTCTTGGCAACATCAACAGCGGTCGAGCCTTTGTCCTGGTTGAGTTTAGACACGATGGTATCGGCGGGATGCGACACCACGGCACAGAAAACTCCAGCGATATATCCAGCGGTGAACGTAACGATCAACTGCTCGCCCTTCGAGCATTGGTCACGGGGTTTGGGAACGACGTGCTTGTAGAGCAACTCGACGGTTCGCTCGAAGCAGGCGAACTTCATCATCGTGTAGGGGATCTGTCGCATCCACAGCGGGGTCAGACCCTTGTAGAGACCGCCGATTCCCTCGTCCTTGAGGATTTGCGGGAAAACTTTGGCCAGGTACGGAGAGCATCCGGGCTGGGTTTGGATTCGCACCTTGCACGCCTCCAGTGGGCAGAGGGCGATATCGGCGAAGAATTCGGCAGAAGCCGAAGCCGCAAGGTACAGTGACGTTCGCCACAGGTAGGTGTTCTCCTCACCGAGGAGGTCGGCGTAGAATATCTTGAACACTTCATAGAAGCCGAACTTTCCTGGAATTAAGCACGAGAGTGAGTCCTGACTCCTGGGGAAGACTCGAAGGTCTCTTTGACCGGGATACCTTATTGCGTTCTAGAAAAATCCGTGGCAAGAGCCAGAACTTCGGGAGCTTTGGTGAAACCGCTCAGCCATCTCGCAGACAGGACGAGGCTCGACGCGATTCGCTCGAGAGCACGATATCTGATAGAAAACTCTAATTCCTCGCCTCAAGGCCGAGGTCGTTTCTTTGACGGTCACCTGACTTTCAATGACATAGCCTTTCGAAGTTTCGGACAGAAGATTTCTTTTCAAAGACTGACTGAGTGGTTGCAGTTCAGAGACGCAGAGACCCAGTCTGCGCATATGATCGATAAACGCTTAGGACACGTGCGTGATCCGCGAGAGGACCCGGCAATCGCATGACACCCGAAAGTGATTTCGTGAACTACTCTCGTAGCGGTCAAACCTACCGAGACCCTGGAGCGAGTATCCGATGGCTGTTGGGGCCCATCCTCGACCGAGTCCTCGAACACCTTCTTCTGCGTGGGTGAGCTTGAAACCCTGGAAAATGCTCTTGTACTTGGTGGGATTCGTCTGGATTCGGCACTTGACGAGATCGAGAGGCGTCAACGCCGTGTGGGTGATACCGCACGAGAGGATCCCGCCGAGACCGCAGAGGGCGTAGTATTGTCCTGAGCCGTAGACGACTTCGTCGGCGGTGTTGGCTGCCGAGAGGACTCGAACCGGCGCCGCGGGAGCTCCCGCCTCACACTTCGCCACCATAGGCGCGAAGGGCGAACGGAAGCGCTGCTGGCCGTCCTGTGATTGGAAAATCTTCAACATATTCTGATTCGTTCTCGGACAACGGTAGCCGGATGATCGAATAGAACAGAATGAGCCTCACGACGTCGCCGACGACGAACACTGCAACTAACTCGACAAGGGAAGATGGCCGATGAAAGTCACCCCGTTGTGTGGTGCTCGCGATTGAGCGGTCGTTGCAGTCACCGCAGCATAACCCGCCAAATTCAAAGAAGAAGTTATCGTGGCAGTTGTGCGGTCTCCCCCGTGAAGATTTCTTGTCTGGTGCAATTTTGGTCTCTCGGAGACGTCTGTCACATGTCGCTGGACGATCGGAGTTGCGGCTCTCGTTCGAGCTCCGACGAGTGTCTGAACGAGCGACTGACGACAGAGAGAATAATTAACAGGAAAGATGGGATACAACCGTTCAATCTCTTGATCAGGTTGCGTGAGACTATATGCGCAGCTCCTGGAAATCAGGCGATCATCTCTGAGAGGGGATAAAGCAGGAATCCAACCAAGAAACTCGGTCTCGGGCTCTTCCTGACAGGACATATCTGCGCGAACGCTCAGTTTGAAGCGGGAATCCGAATCGGTAGGTCGAAGTGGGATCAAGCTTTTTACAAACTTGAAGATTCCCAAATATTCCTGCACGGCCTGTGGTACTCTGTGACGGAATTTCTAAGATTTTGGAATTCTTCTAGCACATATTGTCCATTGGTGCTCATCTCTGAGATCTATCAGGCGACAGGCCTGCGACCGCGCATAGGAACTGTCTTCGTGTGTGGTTCGATGCTCGGTCGTTGTTTTTGTTGACATCCGGAGCTCGTCTGCACAGAGTTTCGTCTCTTCTCCCAACGAAGGGTCATCCCGTGGACGGGTCCACTCACTTTACGATTTCTTCGGTGAAGCTCGACAATGTCGCATCCCGGACCTCTGATATACACTCCTGGTACAGACCTCTCGTCGTTCTTCGAGAGGAGCGGTCGCCGGCCGCAATGCCGACCCCTTGCTTTACAGCTCGCAAGGTGCCAAGACGCCTACGGCTACCCCCACCACATCAAGAAATGTCAGTGAGTATCCGATTTCCCCAGATCCCGATCGCCCTTTGGAGCGCACGATGACGCACACGACACGTAATGGTCTCTCGAGTATTATCGAACTTCCCGGATATCGCTTGTGCTCGCCGAGAAGACTGCAGCGACGACACTGGGAGTCTCGGAGGAGGCGACGATTAGCAATACAACGATAGAATGGAACCGGATCCTCAAATATATATTTTTTCAATGTGATATATCCCCACCGCAGGCTAGAGTGGGAGGATGTCCAAGAGTGCAGTTTCACCTATCTGCAATATGCCCGCGCGAAAACCATCAAAGAATACCGTGAGAAGCTCTTCAAAGAAGGCAAACTAGAACAAAAGTGAGTACCGGAATCCTGTCCCATCGTTCCAGCTTCGAGCTCGTACCTAAGAGGGTCTCGAGTCTCGACTTAAGCATTTCTGCGACATCGGATCGCTACTTATCGCATTTTCCCCCCCGCAGGTACGTGGCGCCCCAAAAAGACGCGATAAATCAGGAACACGGCTGGACTTTGTGAGGACCGATAATCTGATCCGCTTCAAAAAATGTATGCGCATATGCAGCCTCGATACCGCGCTTGACGCGGACGCAAGTCGATTCGGAACCTCTCCATTCATTTCCGCGTTCGAATACATATTTTTGTCGTGGGTTGCTCCGTTACGCTCTGCGATATATTTCATGAAAGATGAGCATAGTGCTGTCTTGATTGAAATTAGTTATGAATGGAATAAAAGCAGATTGCTAAGAGATGTTTCAGGAATCGTTCTTCAGCGGACAACCTATTTTTCTGATTTTCTTCCCGGTGTAGGGATGGATTCGATGGCAGGGGATGGTTCAAAGTTCTGAGGGATAAAGCATGCCGAGGAGAACTGACCCGCTCGATCCATACCTGCTGCCAGCTCTCTCATAATGACCATGAGAATATATCGAGGAAAACTTTATTTTCGGGAGCAATACCCGGAGGAACAATATCAGAATATGAAGTCGGAGTTGAAAGACCGAAAACTGTCACATAAGAGAGAGAGCAACCATCAAGGGCGGTACACGACCCGTATCATATAAATGGCTCAACGCATCACACCAGATTAATTTACGCTTGAAGCGGACGAATTGAATTACGAGGAATTATCGGGAGACTCAAGAAAACGCTCGAGCTCAACATTTCGTTTCTCTTGATAAAGCTGAGGTCAACACCTAGTCTCCCTCACTCACTCGCACATCATTCAAGAAGTCATGTAGCGGAGAGAGTTCATCCTCTTACAATATCTCCATGATTGAAAGAGCTGAAAATCGTCTGCCTGACAAAAAAACGCGTGGCCATGCTCAAGTCTGAGTGGACGATTCATTATTGCTGCTCGATCACTGTAGTCGGAGTGAAATATGTGTATATACAAAACGTGTCAAAAATGGGCAAGGCACTTGTAAGGCCTGCATTCAAGAAGTGATTGGATAACGCGAGGAATCGACGAAAGTGAAAGCTAGCGATCCACGAAAATATCTTCTCCATCGGCCCAATCAGGATCTTCGGCCTCCTGGGATTGAGCGTCGAAACCAGTGCTCGGTTCATTTTTATCCTTGAACGTTTCGTGGAAGCGTTCGAAGAACAATTCTTTGGCGTACTCGTACAACTGCACGTCGAGGTGGTTCGCTTCCCGAACCACGCCTTCGAACGCTGAGGCTCTATTTGAGTTTTTCAAATAGTTGGAAAGACGATTCAATCGGTGATTGGGCTGTGTTACAAAGTGGAGATCGAAGGCGCTCTCGAACATTTTCTGCGAGATATTGGGAAATTCGGATAAACCAAAATACGCCATGCGATGGAGATTGCTCTTCGCGCTGTGCAGAAGTATCATGTCACGGTGACTCTGCAATCGAGAGGGGCTCTTTATTATGTCCGCGTTATTCGTGAGCTGGCCGTTTGGCTGGGGGAGAATCGACGGAAAACCGTATCCAAACACGGGGAAGGGGATCCAGAGCGAATTACTCACCCTGTTGACGGTTTCGTCGTAACAATTCACAAGTTGAAGGTCGGCCAACATTCTCGTCTGGCGGTCGAGTGCTAAATTGCTTTCACATAGAGCAAATTCTTCTAAAGTAACAGTGGATGGATCTCGTCCGGCGAAACAGTTCTTCACATCGGGCAGTGAGTACTCGTGACCGCCGCAGAGATGGCGCGACGGTCGCGAGCCTCTTTGCTCAACAAAGTGTTGCCACTCGCTCCGGAATCTTCGCACGGGATCTCGGAGGATTGTGATGTACAGATACCTGTAGAGATGAATCGAGCTCTCTAGGATCCAGCAAAAGTGCTTGTACGAAACCCGGAGTCGGATTCGAAAGAACTCCGAATCGGGCTGGGTCATCTCATCTCCGAGTTATAATTATTATCATTATTATTGTCGATCGGAGCTCGGAATCCAGGCGAAAGAGCGCCCTCCGATCGGCTGCTTACCGTCGTTTGATCGGTTTTCCTCTGATTTCGTCAAGGACGCGGTCGACGCATCCATTCAGCTCTGTCCAGTCCGGGTGAACTCCGCACCGCCAACCGGCACTGAGTCGACTGAACAACCAGGGACTGTGGGTGACGGGATCCAAACACCGGCATTGCTTCCGACTACAAAAAAAACGAAGAGGCACCAGCGTTAGGAACGGCCAAGGATAAGTTCCTCTTGGCAGATATTCTAGCTGACATCGGACTCTCGGTCTCGGGACGATCGGGCCCCGGAGCTCACCTCGGTCGCTTCACACAAGCACAGGGCCTCTCGAGGTCGAGGTCTTCGATGAGATGTTTCTCGAAGAAATTTGCTCCGGCGTTCTGGATCTGAAGGAACACTAGGACGTCCTTACCCAACTGCAGATTATAAACTGTGTTGTTCGCTTGAGGGTTGCGCTCGCCTAAGGAACGCTCTCTGGCCCTGAAAGGGGAGACTAGGTTCAATCCACCGCATGACGTCGGCGTTCGGAAAGCGCGAATTATTCACTGCGTGACTTGAAGTCCTTGCTGGAGTTCCGTTCCAACTTCGATCACATGTTCCCTTACCTCAGTTTTATTAAGGGTCGGTTCCGCTCCAGGAGGAAGCCTTGGTACAGATTCCCCGCGAGTAGCCCACAGAAGACTACTGCGAGCACAAATAGAACGGAACCTTTCCGAAAAGAGCATGAGCTCGACGAGAAGTTCTTCGAGGGTTTCGGACTGTCAGCCAAGAGCGGTCGCTCGATATAGGAGACCATTCTGAGGAGTCTCCGTGAGAGCCGGTTGGTCACATCGCGCAGTCCCAGACCTCGTCACAGGGCTCATGTGTTGGAGCAGCGAATCCACAATGGCAGTGGACAACCAAAATCGTACGCGAGAAAAAAGAGGGAGCTACTCTCGATGTTTATATTATGGAACCGCTCTCTGTGCACCCTTGTGTGTGTGGGCGGGCAGCCATCTGGAGAGGGACGGCAGTGAGAGACGGAGAAGACCGCAGCACGGGGCGGCCTTTAGCCGCTCTACAGGAGCGCCAGGGCAAACCAGAGTGTGCTATACCATTCTCCGAACAAAATGGCGTCATTCGCCTGCCAGTAGCTCGGAGCGGTTTTCCAGAGCGAACCGAGAAGCTCCCGGAGTACGTTCATGTGAATGGCTGGTCCTGCACCGATGGATTCAGGTGAGTCTTCAGCCTCGCAAGTCTTCCATTTTTCTTTCTCGAAGCCATCTCCAGCATTCAGATGCTCAGCGAGTTCTCACTATGAGAGATTTGACAAGTCGTTCGAATCCTCTCGCGGTGACAGCATAGAACTGGAGACGGGCGCGCGAAACTCCTCGGGTACACTGCTCGATCGGAAATTCCCTCGTTCCCCCGAGCTCGCCAAGGTCTTTTCATCGTGTTGGAGACATTTGGGACGCTCGGGCTTCTCTCCGTGATGAGAGACGGGAGCTGCAGCTGTTCGAATCCGCAACAGGAATGATAGGAATGTAGGCCGAGTAAGCTGCCGAATTGCATTCGTATTCATATTCCCGAGCGAATGTGACTCTATCGGTCTGGGCTCGCCGCTGTCATTCGATGGTTGCCGCGAAATTTCCACCGGTCTCCGACTACAATGAAGAACATTGGAGTGAATATTTGTTCCAGAAGAGCAACACAAAAGGCGAAGCGTGCCGAAATCGTTGGATGGGGGATTAGGATGAGAAGAGCGCGGCGTCACGGCCCGGGTATTCCTATGGTCTACCAATCAGGCTGCAGAACTTGAATTTGTCGTAAGGAGTACGAGGGTAGCTTCTCCCCTTTCTCCCCCTGTCCGCTCTCCGCAATTTGCTCGAAGGCCCTCATTACCTGGAAGTTCGTTGCCCTTTTCGAATTGAACTCCTCTTTGCGGGAATCCGCGACTCAGATCCGAGAAGCCGTTCGTCTTTCTCGGATGCGTATGCAACGCATTGACAGTGCTAGGAACGCTTCGACAATGAGTGATTGCCAAAAAGCTCGATTGAGTTAGCGGATATTGTTCCGCTCCCAGCCCCGTCAATTTCCGACAGATGGTCGAGCTTGCTCCGGCTCATCGTTTCTTGACATCAATGAGCGGACTTCGAGTCGGAGTCATCCGTAGTCGAAGTTGATCTCGCGGCATGGGACGTCATCCTCGATGGAGTCCGGACCCAAATACAGGACGGGTCTTAGAATCGCATCTCACAGGCGCTATAGTGAGAGCGGGTTTCGACCTCTAGTCGGCAGAAGATGGTCTCGGTTCCGGAATCGTGTGATGGACATTTCCGCCGATCCGTCCCAATTCGAGGGGAGGTGGAGCATAATACTATTCTGGGCTGCTCTGACGTCATGGCTGCCCTATTAGGCTTTTGTCGGCGCTCGTCAGGATTGAATCTTTGAGCCCAAGCAATCTTGACGCCTGACCTAGAAAAGACTGTCGAGCATGCCAGCATGCAACCGAGAGGTCCAGCAGACGGTGCTCACGATCATCCCGCTCGATTGCCAATGTCGATAACTATGTCATAAGTTACAATGTTTTGATACCATCGAATGCCTCGAACGTACGAGGATTGCACTGGTGTCGGATTCCTACGTCAGGCTCCAAGGACCTAATTAACGTAATCGAATTGCAGCTGATTGTCTTATCCCAATGTTCCAGCTTTGAATGGCCGGACACGACGATAGATGTCTAAACAGATCCGATACACCGCGCTCCCCGTGAGCGGGGGGCGCAGCCGGTGGTCACCCCGTCGGGAAAAGACATGCATAGCAGCCAGGTGCGTTCGTCTCCCCCGTATTTTGCCCAGAGGCCACCCTTACCTCTATGCCGCTCACTCCATCTCACGGTGTATGATCGATTTTTTTCAGGTACACCCTTGTGGTGATGCTCTTCTGGGCGTTTTTCATGCTTTACGCCCTCCGAGTCAATCTTTCCGTGGCGATTGTCGCGGTCGTGAATCTGACTGCCCTCGAGAAAAATCTCTTACCCACCGTCGACCCGCTACTAGAAACGTGTCCGAGGAACTCGAGCGTGGCCGCGAGCGGTCTCGTTTCGACGAGCCCCGAATACGGCGGCGAATTCGATTGGGATGAGAACACTCAGGGTAAGCGATATCCCGGGTGATTTCCCGCGGTGATTTTACGAATTTTTCCTCCGGAGGATCAGGATGCGGATGACGTGTTATTAGAGGACGATATGCGTATTTGTGTAGGAGCTTCCAATCCATTTACATCCAATGATATAGAGCATGGTGCATGTACAGATGGAATGGGAGACGTGATATGTATGTTTTGTTCGCAGGGATGATTTTAGGTGCATTCTTCTACGGATACGTGGTGACGCAAGTGCCTGGGGGACGTCTCGCAGAGCTCATCGGTGCTAAATGGCTCCTCGGATGCGGCATTTTCATCACATCCCTTCTCTCGATCATCACGCCGGCAGCCGCGCGTATTGGAGGAGCGTACGGTCTCGTTCTAGTCAGGGTGCTGCAAGGATTGTGCGAAGGAGTCGTGTTCCCATCGTCGATGGCCCTGCTCAGTCACTGGGCTCCGAAACACGAACGATCTCGTATCATATCGTACAATACCATCGGTACATCGATGGGCACAGTGGTCACTCTCATGGTGACGGGTCAGCTCTGTTCTCACGAGAACGGATGGCCGAACGTGTTTTATCTGTTCGGCGGAATCGGTTGTGTTTGGTTTGTCGTCTGGGCGCTCGTTGTTCACGAGAAGCCCGAATCGCATCCTTGGATCTCAAAACAGGAGCTCAACTACATCCAGAAGTCCCGAGGTTACATAGCTGCGCACAATGTCGAACTTCCATGGAGATCGATTCTGACGTCCCCGGCGGTGTGGTCGCTGGCGGTGACGATATTCTGTGGGAATTACGGCTTCTATTTCCTCCTCATCGATCTGCCGAATTATCTTAGCGGGGTTCTACACTATAAGATCTCAAATAACGGCTTTCAGAACGCTCTCGTGCATCTGTCGTGCAGTCTGAGCATGTTACTGTTGGCACCCGTCGCGGATTCTCTGCGGAAGAAGCGACTGTGTCGAACGACGAAAATCCGGAAAATATTCCAGGCCGTCGGCCTGCTCGGTCCGGCGGTCTGTCTTTCTCTAGTGCCTTGGGCCGGTTGCGATCACTTGAAAGTCATAACATTACTCGTGACGGGAATGTCTCTCTACGCTTTCACGGTCGGAGGTCAGAATCCGATGCCTTTAGACATGGCCCCGAATTTCGCCGGAACCCTCATGGGAATCACGAATGGCTTCGGCAATTTGAGCGGGATGGCAGCGCCGCTCATAACCGGCTGGGTTATTCAACATAACGACACGCTGACGCAATGGCGGAAATTGTTCCTCTTAGCGTCGGCCATCTACTCCTTCGGGGCAGTACAGTTCGTAATTTTTGGTTCTGCTGAACTTCAGCCGTGGGCGGCACCAGCGCCCAACGAAAAAGAGCTTCTCGATGAAGAGAGCACCAACAGTGATCATGAAACGTTGCATCTTACCTGAGCCGATGAAGCGAACTTGCATCGAATGCTTTCGTGGGAGGCTGCAATCGACAGCACCTTGTTGATAGCTCTCACTGGAGAGCACCGTTGATGAGCCGATCGGATATGGGTAAACGTGATAACAGAAGACGCATTGGATGAAAGACATCTCTTCACCGAGATGACTTTAATTTATACAAGCTCTTATCTTGATGATTGCGTTGGCGGTTGAAAAGGAGAGACGATTTTGTGATATTGTATCAACAACACCCGCAGCTGTACATCAAGGGGGTCGTTCCGACCTCTTGCGCTGAAATCAGGGATATTAGTTCCGATTTTCTCTGTTCGTCTATGTCTCCGTTCGTCGTCCCGTCTTTGGTGACCGAGCGATCACGTATTCCGTGTTGTCTATACATGCGTCAGGACCAAAAATATGTTCATCCAATCAATAAAACTCAATTAATGCAGCTGGCCCGTTTCCTCGTCGATACTGGATGAATTCAAGCATCCTAAACTGAAGTCAGCTCGGGGTGGAGTGACGAATAATGTAGCGAATCCGTGATTTCCCTCAGCCTCTGAGAATCTGAGTCAATCCAGTTTTTTTAAATGCCCTCCAAAATCTCGAGACCTTCTCATTTAAATAATTACTGCGGGAACGGTCGACTCAGACGGGAGATTTGAGCGAGTGCCCCGAAAAGCGCTACGGAACGTTTGGCGTGTCCGTCCTCTTCGGAGCGACGGCATCTTCAGACACAATTTCCAGCAGAGAACCTGACAAGACATTGCCGCCAGCCGCCAGGCTCTATCGACGAATTATTCGTCATGAAACATTGGTGTCGATGAAATTAGATTTGTTTTATTTCAAACGCGTTCTCCGTCGCCAGCATTCTAGCTCGAGGTCATCCAATGAGTTTTGGATAGGTACGTGCTGCGGTAGACCCGCTCTCAATTTCCAGATGTGTTCTACAGTTGTTGGGCAGCTTTTCCTACCGTATCGGTATAATTATTCCTCGCATCACAGTGGGGAGAGCTTGCCCATGGAGAGCTCCAAGGAGAACGTCCGGGAATCTGGCAGTGATAAACCCTCCGCTTGAGGCAGATGAACGTCTGATACCCTCGTTCCCTTCACATCGCCTTCTTCACTTCATTATCACTAAGACGGCGCTTCAGTAATGAGTGAATTTAACGCGTTAAATCGTTTTAATGAACTCAATTGACAACATTGCGCAACGGGAATTTTCGCAGCAGCACCGATAGTTATAACGATGACACGAGTAATAGTAATATGAATGAAGGTGGTAAAAAAAAGGGGGTAATAAGGGAGGGCAGTATTATTATTATTTTAGGCACAATTACAAAGATAGATACGCTCATTAGCATGAAGTATAAAGTTTTGATTTCACGCTTTTCCGTCACAAGTCTCTCGAAGTTCTAGTTTTTGGAAGGAGAAAACAAACAAAAGAGTTTCGACGGCTGCCACACTCCTCAGTCCGTCACGGTAATGTGACGATGCCATCACTCGATTTGATTACGGGTATAATAACTGATGTGATGAAGTGATCGTTGTACGGATATTACGAGACGATGCGCCAGATCGAGGCTCTGATTCTGCCCTCGGCTCTAGCCTCGCATCTGAACGTGTGATTTGTACGCGGAGCTCACGAAAAGCAGCATCATCATCATTTTTCTCCATGAAATGAGGGATGAGAATTATGAATACGCAGTGTCCTGTCACAGTGCTCGATACCATTCAAGCCGGAACCGGTACGTCTGCTCCTCTCGCTCCTAAATGCGTTGAAGTGTCTCATGGACGATGAGTTGTTGATGAATGTGATGCTGATGAATGCGGAACGATGATGCCTCCAACTGTTAAGTGTGTCCCTCCGAGGCGGCCGAGGTATGAAATCAAGGATTTCCACTTCCTCAAAGATAACAAGCGGCGGAAGTCAGGAAGAGCTTTTGGGAGAACGACTATTGCACTAGGCCGCTTTGTCCACCACCACCACCATCCTCGTCTTCACCATCGCGAGTGAAGGGAAACTACTGATTGTGCGTCGTCGATCGAGACGAAGATTCGCTCGAGTGGTATGTGTAGGCGCTGTACGTCTCAGAAGCCGCTGGAATTTGATTTATTCGGGTCAGTACACACTCCGCTCTGATGGGGCGATAGGTGATCAGACCTAGCGCCTGAAGGCGATGAGGCGATCCAGTCAGCAAAAAATGAGGACATCCAATGTGCCCCGTTTGCATCAGAGCTAACTCACCGTATCCTTGGGTACCTCCTCCTTGCTGCTGAGAGGTACTGGGGCTCTCGATTTGTTCAGTGTGCTGCCGATTTCCGTACTTGGCACGTCGGAGCTGAGCAAATTTCTCACGAGCGGTTTCGAGTTCACGTTCTTTTCGCAGAATATCCTCGCGGAAGACGATCTCCTGAGCGATGCCACCGACCATACGTTTGTTGATGACCAGCTGGAACTCTTCCGTCTGCTCTACGGACTGCCTCGCGGCTCGGACCAGGCTCTCAGTAGCTTGTTTGACGGCATTTCCAGCAGCCTGAAGTCTTTTCATGGTCGGTGAGTCTGGCGATGACTTGACTTTGCATGCCACCAGCAACTGAGCTGTAGAACTCGCAACTGTGGAGTAGGAAATACGTCAGCGAAATTCAACTAGCGACCTCCAGAGTTTGGAAAATGAAATTCAAATCGAGGCGAATCGTCAAGGAAAAAACTCCGCGTCCCCTCACCCTGCTTAGCAGAAGAGATGAGCCTCTCTTCCGAAGCCTCTCCGTGGACGAGTGCGTTGGCTGCCTCGACGAGACTGTGCGTCGCGGCCGCAACGAGTCGTGCTGCCGAAATGAGGCCTTCGGACCATTGGCCGTCCTCCGAATGGTAGCGCGGTTGACCACTGACCATTCCTGCTGCAACAAGTTCCCGCTGTGCCATCGCAGCTGCTTTGATCAAAGCAGCTGTGGCAGCTGTGATGGATTTGGCAGCTTCTAGGATGAGCGCGTCGAAGTTCAAATTTTCGTCGGCAACCTGGATCAATGAGCGAAAAGAACCAGCGTCAGTTCCGAGTGGGCTCGGCCTACCGAACGAAGGTGTGAGACCCCCCTCCCTCCAGGAGTGTCAGTCTCCTATCACTTGAATTTTTCCTCTGTTCTTGGTAAACAAAACCGCTGCTTCCTAAGTTCTGGCCTCGTTCGCACTAATTCGCGACGTCGTCGGATTTTGAGCTCCCTCGGAGACCACATGATAATGATTGACATGACGGCGAGAGGCTGCCAGTCTCGCTGTCGGAAAACGGACTCACGAAAACAGACTTCAACTTGAGCTATCCATCGACGAAGTGTTGCATTCTCCTAGAAGCTCACGGTCAAATGTCACATCGGCAATAACCGTCTCCGTTTTCTGGACTGAATCCACAGCATTGTCACAACGAGAGATCGGTGAAACGATTGGGCAATGGCAGACTTTAAGGAATCCTTCCCTCGTCGTCTCCAGTGAAAGTGTGTCCAAGGCGGGCGGTGATGCTGCAGTCAGCAACATCGGACTGTCTCTCTGACGAACGGACTGACTGACACGACAGGAGCGACGCGCGCATCAGGGAAGACCTTGGCCGTCGTCAACACGAACCTTCTCCGGAAATGGCCTGATACATGACCGTGTTCGACGGCGATACATTCAACACAACTACCGAGGCGCCGGCGCTGTGAGCGGCACCCTTTTCGGTGTCGAACCACTACACTAGTCGACAAAACGACATGATCCAGCTCCGGCTTCGCCGTTCCTCAAAACATACCTGAACCGTAATTTCCCTCGGCCGGAGATTGGCCAGCTTCTGGGCGGCTGCTTCGATCGAGGCAGCTGCACCGAGGAGCTCGGTTTCGGCGATGACGGTCGGATCTTCGGGATCGATGAAGTCGTTCCCCTTGAGAGCTTCAGCGGCGCTGACGATTTCGGCTACGGCGGTGGCGATGGCTCTCGAGCCCTCCACCAAGCGTTGCTTCCCATCGGTCGGTCGGCCTTCCATCACCTGTAGAAGCAGCTGGAGCTGTTCGCGGTATCGGATCGCACAATCCCGACCGGATTTCAGAACTCGAGCCCTGAGCTCGGGGTTATCGGCCAGAAGCGAAGCGGCCTGGAAGGGAATTAGCTTATCGTAATGAGTTCAGAAGAGTCATCGATTGGCGGAGTCACGTCAACAGCTTGAAACGTGCCGCTGCTTGCAGTTGGCACGTCGTGATCGGTGGTCACTCCTGACTCCTGACCCCAGTCGGATGGCGGCTCGGTCCTCCATCTGCGCCGTAGACGAATAAAATGAATTCGAGACTCACCTTGCATGTTTGGAGCATGTCTGCGATAGCTTTGCGTCCCATATTGGCAGAAACAATGGCATCGTCTTGCTTGCAAGACGTGCCTGCGACGACGGCCTTCGCGGTGGCCAAAGTCACAGGCTTCGTGGACCTCACGAGCGCTTCGGGTGTGACCTCGGGAAGCCCACTGAAGTTTTGACTGTCGAAATTCTTGATCTCTTGGTAGATGGCTTCACTCGTCGCCTCGAGGGCTCTCGCGCCACGTGAATTCTCATCTTCGATTGCTCGAACCGTCTTAAGCAACGCAGCCACGTTTGTCACCATCGTCTGCAAATCCAGCGAACAGGGCTCATTGAAATTCTCAAAAATTCTCGAAAGAGGCGATTCAATGACTTGATGATTCGATGAATATCTTCCATTTTGGTCGGGGACATCTGCGTAAATATCGTCCACCATGGAGCTACATATTGAAATCGGTGCACTAAAGTGAGTTTCCACAAGAAGAAGAGCGACGTCATCATCATGATCCTATTCAGCAAGCAGAGCGAAAGATTCGAAAGCACCAACATCAAAGCTTGTCACGTCCTCATTCCCAAATGTTTATCTAAGAATCTATTTTTCTTTCGCCGATCTATTGTCTCCCCGTTCAACCTGCGCATCCAAACACGGCTAGCTGACTGAGAGATCGTTCAAACGGAGAGACCGCACAATCGTCACATATTACCTTAGCGGAGTCCTTGAGGTAAAGCATGGACGGATCGTTAATACTCTTTCCAGAAGCCACTTTCGTAGCCTGGATCAAGTCAGCGAGAGCTAGGGCCACATCCTTGACGGCTTTGAGCAGCATAACCTAAAATAGAACCAACCCCGCGTGAATCAACGTGGCGACCAACGGTGCCAAGCTAGCTATTTCTTGTCTAAGCAGAAATCTCGTGAATGGCAGAGTTTAGGCCCTGTTTAGGTTATTCTGACGCTCGGTTCTCGCAGGCGAATGCTATCATCGTCCAAGATATCCAAGGACACAAAACGTTGCACTAAACGGGCGGGTTATCAGTCGAAGATCCTATCGGGATTAGTCATATCGTCCTTCGTCCTTGTGGGAATCAGAATTCTCCCGATCGTACCAGTGCAGAAGTTCTGACAGAAGGACGATGAATGGAAACCCACCTGCGCTTCTTGATTCTGAGGTCCGAGAGAAGCGGCTCCCTGTTTGAGAACGTCGGCCAAGTGCACAATTGTCTGCACCGCATTTTGCGCTGCAACAGCTAACTGCTCTTGGCTGGAAGCGGCTCCCGCGACCAAGGTCTTGGTGTCGTCGACCAGGGCCTTGGCGGTCCTGAGAATGCTTTCGCGATGGTCGCCGAATTTGTCTCCGTCGTGCTCCGGGTTCAATGAGCCGGCCGTCGCAAACATTATTGTCGTGTCGAGGTCGCCAATGATCCCGCTCACAGTCGAAGCAGCGTTGATGCACGCTTGCGTTCCCGTGGAACCGGCTCTGAGGGCGCCGAGAATTACGGACACCTTCTCCGAGACGATTTTAGCCGAATCGGACAGTTCCCGTTGCGCGTGCGAATCTCCCGGATTAGCTTGAGCTGTTCCGCAGGATTTACTCAAAGTGACGCACGACTTGCCGAGCTCGTGCACTCCCATTCGGATGCGATAGGCAAGCTGAAAACAAGAAATTTTTACGCCTACGGAAAAATGCGGAACGGAATTCCGGTTTCGGGGGGTCCTGGGCCTCACAAATCCCCTCGTCCGTTCATCATTCATTACTCATCACAACCCTCTGAGAGTCGAGCGAGGAAAAAGAACGATAGAGATGCGAACGTGGGAGTGTATTCTTCGCATTTCAATCGACACGAAAATCGACTCGTGACTCACCTCACTGTTCGAAGTGACGGAAATTGCGGTCCTGCTTATGGTGACAAGGGTGGCGTAATGGTGACTGAGCTCGCTGGCGAGATGCGAGAGCTGACGGGGATCGCTCGAAGACTTGATCACCATGTCTTGGGAGACTCTGGCGATTTCTTTGGCGTTCTTGACCATTTCGGTCTGCACGTCAGCGAACGAAATTTCGTGTTGGGTCACCACCACGGGCTGATCGAGTTGAGCGATCGCGTTGTTCAGATTCTCGAGGACTCCGCTCACGAAACCGGCTTCGGCGGCCGATCTTTCGAGCGTTTGAAGAAGATCATTCTGCAAGAACCGAAACCAATGAGAAAAAAAAATCCGACGGACTGTCACGGAGGAAAAGTCAATCGTACAGGAGCACGAAAACGCCTTTCACGAAAATTGTCGAGAGGAGTTCCCGTGCGCGGGAATCGGGGGGATCGCACTCACCACAGCGTCCTTTGTGGCGTCAGCGCCCTCGTCGATGTCGTTGTGCAACATGTCGGGAGCCTTCGGGTTCCCGCCACACTCCTTCGCGGTGTAGAGGAATTGCACGGCGGCCTCGCAGACGGTTTTGGTCTGATCGATGAGCAGCATCTGCTGTTTGTTACTCATGATACGTCCGGCGGCTTCGACCGTATTCTGCACGAGAGTGTTGAAGTACGAGACCAATTGGAGTACGCAGTGGCCCAGCTGTTCGGCCTGGCATTTGGCGGCAACACGCAGTGGTTCCAGGCTCTCCCGGATCGCTTGGCAGGAGTGTTCGATCTGCTCCTGGCAGGTTCTTAGGTCATGCTGAGGCGAGGGCAACGATCCCGTCTGGCCCAGAATGGCGATAGACGCCTGATCCAGTGTTCTGATACAGCCGTTGAGCTTCTCGATGCCGTGGTCGCATTCCCGTTGTCCGGGAGCGCTCTCCTTGATGACGGTGACCAGTTTCTTGATCGAGTCGGAAACGGTACGGCTCTCGTTCGAGAATCCCTGCCACACGGGTGGGTCCTTGGGATTTATGGCCAGATCTTTCGAGTGACCGATGAGGTTGCAGGAACCGGCGACGATGTTTCGAGCGGTGCCGAGAATGGGTTGTTGCGCGAGAATGGCTTTGTCCGAGAGACGGGCGGGCACCGTCGCGAACTCGGGGGAGCTCGCGAACGCTGTCAAGTTCTCTACCGCTGTGATGAGCGGTTTCGTCGCTTGATTGCAAATCCTCCTGTTGGCATCGGTCGGATCCTTGTCGAGCGCTTTGATCCCACTGACAAGAGCCGACGTAGCTCCAGCAACGTCCTTCATACTCTGCAGGAACTGGTTCTTCGTGACCGCGTTGCTGGCCTTGCCGGAGGCCATGCGACAGGCGTTGCACAGGGACGACGTGTGCTTGGCAATGACCGTGGCGGCGCTGATCACCTGTTGCTGAGAGCTGTGGGGGTTTGTCAGCTGGGCGCAAGCCTCCTCGATCGCGTGCAAGGCCCTGGCGAACTGCGCGGCATCGACGACGCCCGCCCGACCGGAGACGGAGCTCGGGTCCGAGGCTCCTATGAGGTATGCGGCCTGAGCGGACGCCTCGACGAGACCGCAGACGGCGGTGCACGTCCTCTTCACGGCCACGCAGAAAGCTTCGTGTTGGCTACGCTTTGCGGTATCGGTGATTCCGGCCATACCGTCGCCGAGCATTTTACTCCTGTCCATAATTACATCTAGGCATTCATAATAACTGAGGTCTGAGATGGGTTCGCTGGCTTGTTCCAGATGGCTCTTGGCACTTTGGATCGCACGTATGGCGTTATCGCATTCGGTCTGACCGGGGGCCGAGGACGAACAGACTTCGATCAGCTGATTGATCGAATCGACGACGGCGCGACCCGCCGCAATCAGCTGGTTCCTCGCCGAGGCGCACGGGTCGGCTGCCGAAGACTTCGACACCACGAGCAGCTTCGACGACGAGATCGAAACGTTGCGTAGAGCGTTCGTGATTCGAGGATGGACGTCGGTGTTCTGGGTCTGGCCGGCGAGCTGAAGACCGACGTCGAACAAATTGTTGAAGTCCGACCCGAAACGTCGGACGGACGTCGTGAGTTTCGACGACGACGCCCGCGCGGAGTCCACCACGTTATCGGTGGACTTCTGGAGACGTTCCGCAGCGTTGTGCAGGTCGTTCTGGAGATCGCCGTATGTCCGCGAGGTCATGGGGTACGAACCCTCGTTCAGGGTCTGCGTCGACTCCTTGATGGCGTCGATCGTATCGTCGACCGCCTTCTGGCCGGGCAGGATGCTGATGCAGCTGGTGAGCGAGGTCGACACCTGCTTGCCCACCTGGGTGAGTCGTTGTTGGTTGTCGGGGTTTCGCGGATTGCTGACGACGTCCTGCGAGGCCGTGATTAGATCTCTGGCTCGCATCACGACCACGGCGGCGTTGTCGATCACGCCGAGCTGCGAATCCTGTTCGTCGCTGCACGCCGCAACTCCTCGAACGGCCGAGACGAAATCTTTCAGGGCGTTGGCCGTGTCCCGAGCCGCCACGAGCAGGTAGTCCTTGTCGCCTTGCGATGCCGCGGTCAGGATCTGGGCTAGCGACGAACCGACGACTTTGGAAGTGGCTCCGAGTTTCAACGAGCACACCTCGGTATTCTCTCCCGGAAGGGGTCGGAGGTCGTGCATCTGAGAAGCGTGACGATATTCGCGGAGGTCGCGTTGGAGTCCGTCGATCGTCGATATGGGTCCGGAGAGATCCTCGACCCTCTGACCGCACACCGTCCTGGCTTTGGTGATGCAGGTGCGGATTTCGGTGAGCGACGACGTCATCTCCATGGCTCTCGTGTGCAACAGTTGAGACGTCGTGGTCTCGGTGATGGTCGCGGCGAGTTTCTTCGATGTCGACGCCAGCGCTTCACACGGTCGGGTCACGTCTTCACACGCATAGATGAGCTCGAGGTGCGAGTCGAGTGTCGACGACGTTTGAGTGGCTTTGACGCCCTGAGTCAGCCGCGGTAGAACGCCCTCAACCTCACGCACTTGTTCCGTCAACTGCAGGCTCAACTGCTCATTCGACGACAGAGGCACAGCGCTGTGGGCAGCGGAGATGTTCTGGCGAGCGGCCGCTGCGACTTGCTTGGCGGAGCTCTACGAAAACAAAAAACGACTGTTAGATCATAGACGTCTGAATTTCGTGGAACGCTCGACCGAGACTGAATAGTGACAAAGTCGGCGGAGCACCGTTCATCGATCGAGTTGTGGAATTCACGGAAACAGAAACCTCAGGATTCTCGGTGGGAGACGGAGAATTCATCGGAGGAAAGTTCGGCGACGATTCTATTCCTCGATCTTTTGCTCGTTGTGAAAGAAATCGAGCCGTGACTTACCTCCAGTCTCTGGATGACTCTTCGTTGAACTGCGTTCCCACTGGCGGCGTCCGTGGCGACGCGGATATCCTCCGCGGCCTTCCGTAACAACGCCTGCGATTCGCAATCGTTCGGTCTCCCGGCGCAGCCCTTGGCGGCTTCGATCATCCGAGATGTCGCGTCAGTGAGAACCACGGCTGCGTGCAGAAGTTTCTTCTGCTGTCCAATGTCGGACTGCTGTTCGGCATCTCCTTCGATTCCCTTGACCAGCTGGGCGGTGGCCGCCGCGAGAATTTTCGCCTGCCTGAACATTTCGGTGGTATCTCCACTCGAGTCGAACAGACGGTCTGTCGCATCGAGGATTGTGGTGACGGGACCCGGATGACCCTCACGAGTTTCCTTAGCGCGAACGCTAATGTCCTTCACTTGGCTCAACAGGTCCTGCAGAGAGTTGGCCACCTGACGGGCGGCGTCCTTCAGGCTCTGCAGGAGTTTCGGGTCGTCGGTGGCATCTTGACAAACGAAGACGATGTTGTCCACAGTCCTCGATACTTCTTTACTGGCATTCTCGAGTTCGGTTTGGCATGCAGCATCCGCGATCGTCGGCGCGAGAACTTTGGTGCTGGACACCAGCTGAGATGTGGCCGAGGCGCCCTGCGTGGCGGCCTGGATGATTCGGTTCTGGAGTTCCTGATCCGTCGTCTGGCTGGCGACGTCCTTGGCTTTGAGGACGAGAGCCGCAGCGGCGTTCGCGACACCCTTCGCCAGGGCCAGCAGCAGCTCGGCCGTCTGAGTATCCCACTCGGGTTCTTCGGCGATCGTGTGCAGAACAGCTTTCGTCTTCTCTGCGACATCCGCAGCCGCAACGATGAGTTTCTGCGGTTGGGGCGGTCCGATCGGTTCAGCCGCGTTGAGGAGATCGCTGAAGGCTTTGCACATTTTGCGGGTTGCATCGATCAGGTCCCCGCGGTCTCGAGCGTCTTCGATAAGGGTGGCCATCGTGGCGACATGTTTCGTCATCTCGGGCAGTGTCGTGGTGCTGAGGATCGCAGACGGATATAATAAATACATTAGAATCTACGGTGCCCTAAGAGTTGAAGGTACCAATTGAAAATTATTGAGGTAGACCCGGCGAGCCTCAAACTGCACTCAAAAGATTGTGCGTGCATGTCAGGCGGTCAGGTTATGCACTAGAACGAGCGCGTTGGCGTTCGCCAAGCGAAGACCAAGAGCCCATCTGGGGGTCTTCCGAGTGGGCCTGGGTGGGCTCGCAGAACCGAGTCAGCGGCCCCAGCGTCTCCACAGGGACAACGCCGAACGGGTGATTCGAAATCGCATCGATAGACATAGTGATTGGTGCCGCGTGGGCCTTTCGGTCGTCTACGGCTTTCTACACCGGTAGCACCAAATGGCGAAGACCGTTGAGTTCGAAAAGTCAGGGTAGGTACTCACATAACATTGATGGCCTTCGACACAGCTGGGGGATCCATTTCGGCCTGAGAGGCGAGCGTGACGACGTGCGCGGTCGCGGCGTTCATCGCGGCGATATGCGTTTGGATATTCTGCTTGTGGGTGTCCAATTGACATTCTTTCCATTTTGTGGCGCCGGAGTCTTTGCCCAAATCCACGTATACGATCGGTCGGTTCAGATGATCGAAAGACTTCTTGATAGCCTCTGTGATGATCGCTTGCTGGGGAGACTCGATCAGGGTTGCAACGTGAGCCTGTTGGGGTGGCTAGACGGAACAGCATTCGATGAGTCACGGATCATAAGTAAACCTACGTATAGCCTTTCGCTTTTGATATATGTATGTGTAGAAAAGCATGCAGGAAACCGTTTTTCTTAGAGTCCGTGAACCGATACTAAATTTAGTATCGAGTTTGGGTGAAATTGACTCGCACAGTGGTGTATCTGTGTCTTCAGCTGAAATCTTGCGCTCAGATTGAACGAGGGAGCTAAGGAGAGAAACGAAAAGAGCTTGGTGCTACTCACAATTTGTACACGTTGGCCTTGAGCCAGAGTTCCAGTTTCCGTCTTGTGTTTCGATACGGGAACGTGGCCAGGGAGACCGATCTTCTCCGATTCGGGGCTCGGTCGGACAACGGATGGAATCGCGATGTTCTGAGTTTCGACCTGAACCGGTTGAACAGCGGGCGTGAGCTGGATGGTACTCGCTTTCGCGGGCGTGACGGAATCTTCGACGATCTTCGAGCCGTCATCGCCCTGGATACCAATATGATCCTTGGCTTTCTGTCTCTTGAGGATTATATCGATATATCCTGCGATCAGCTGAGCGATCTGCTCTCCCTCCTGGGTTTTGACCGAGTAGTACGAATCGGAATAGTCTCCGAAGTCCAGAGTGAAACTGTTCGGCGATGCGGCCCAACGTTTCACGGTTGTCAGCGGCCAAACTTTGATGATTTCTTTTGTGCGTTCGTCCAAACGCATCACCGACTCCTTCGTGATACCGAGCAGACGAGGTACGAGTTTGTTTTTGCCTTTCATTTTCTCCTTCACAAGGAAGAATGTGACTCCGTAGGTCCGTAAGGAACGCGCCCTGTGGACGTAGCTGACCTTGGCATCGACTTCGCTCAAGCCCTTGTAGGTTGCGTGACACTGCAATGGGAACGGGGGAACTGAGATCACCAGAGCTGAATCTCGGTCGGGGCTCTGATTTCACCCGATCAGAACACGAGCATCGACATGCTACTATTTTTCCTTTTCCCGAAAAGGATTGATGACGAGAGGAAAATCAAAAAATCGAATAATCCGAAAATCTCCAACAAGCGGAAAGGGCCATCCACAGACTAGGGAGAACATTCTTATCATCATGCGCTCCCAGGAACTGTCCCGGCCCCGCGAGAAAGGTCGACGACCGCCTTCTCGAGGGAGAACCTTCAACCCGCCGACGGCCACCTCCCGTCTCGTCGTTGAGAGGGCTCATGATCCTATCGGATTTCGTGAATCCTTATCGAGCTGTGACCCGATCGCATGAACTCCCCGGGCAAATACGGACTTGGAGTCTCGACCTTGCGCACGCTGCTATCTATTCCCGACCGAATATGAAGAATATGCGCATACGCGATAAGATGAGCTCTGCACTGTCCCGCCTTTTTCGTCGACGTGTGCCGCGGAAAGGGTCTCGGAGACCTCCAGCCTCCGGACCCTCAGTGCTCCTTTCAACGCTCTCTCGGCACTCGCAACGCCCACCCCTCCCTCGGACCCGTTCTTGGCCGTCAGCCAGACTGCCGCCAGGCCCATGTGGCGCCTGTCTCGATAAACGCTGTTTCAGGGAACCGGAGTATAACGAGACCGACCAGCTTCGTACAAAGTCGACTTCGGGTTCGCTTCGCGGGGAATTCAGTATTCAGGGACTCGATATGCGGAAACGGGACCACAAATCCTTCAGAATGGATTCCGTAAGAATCTCCGAGAATAAGCTGATTATTGTTATCATAATAGTGTTATATCGTCATTATTGAAGTCGTCCGCGGGATCAATGTCGGTAGCCACTCCCAATCTGGCCGCAGACGTACATTCATGGAGCGGGTACATTCGCTAGTGTATTTCTCGTTGACTGGTCGCCTCGGTCAGTGAGTCGCTCCTCTGCTTCGTTATGGTTTCGCGGTGAAGCCCAAAAACGTCGGTGGTCTGTCTATTGTGCTAAAAGGCTGAGCCGAAGGCCACTCCACCCTTCCTGTGGCGTTATTTTTTCGAGGAAATACGAACAATATCACGCCCGGTCAGGAGGCTGCCAAGCAATTGTTATTCCCTCCGTTAGTGTGAACCTCCGAGCCCAGACTCGCCCTGACTGAATACATGACCGAAAGTCGACAGAACTCTATTCCCCTAAACCCTAAACCATTAGGATGCGTCTCAATGAAAATCGAACCAGCAGCGTGTCCCCGATCCTTGGTGGAGCTCCAAGGCGCCCTGTCGGTCCCGGCCGACATTTCTGATTTACTGTCAAATCCAATTATCCCTGTTCCAGCGCCTTACGAGAAATCATCAGAAAACCCACGCCACCTAGAGACTTGTTTGCAAACGCGAGGGTATCCTGTCTTCCGTAACCTCTAGATTTCTATTCTCAAATTACTAAGCGATGCCGAGCCGGTGATTGGCGGACTGTTTGCCTAGCTAGTCGCTCGGCTATTCGCCTGGCTGGTCGTTGAGACGAACACCCCACGCACCAATATCCGGGTTAGAGACACAAGAACCGCGTTGGTGATCATTCTAGAGTCTGCCACGAGCGAGAATCGTGGGAGGTTGCCAACCCTGGTCTTACTCTGTTTGGCACCTAGAAGGCCGTCGTCGTGCTGGGTCACCCCTTCGCATCGGTACTGTACTCCCAGAACACTTCCTCGAACAACTGTCGCTGCAGCCGCAATCTCAACGATTCTTCCGACATTTTGGGGATAAATTCCATTTGAAAACTAAACATGACATCTGTTGCCAGGCTCTGTTTCGACAACTGGCGAGGCGTGATTCAGGAGGCCTCACCAAACAAAGCCTAACGAGCCTCGAAGTGCTGGCCTACGGAAAAAATCCCGACTCGGTACTCACGCCAAAAACTCGTCTGTCAATTCCTTTGATCTTGGTGAAGGTTTTAGGGAGAAACTCCTTGAGCTCGATGAAGCCGGCCTTGTGTTTTCCTTCGACGTAGTCGCCGAACTGAATTTGACATTGGAGACCGGCGAATTCACATGCTTCGTCTACGGTGACAGGATGAGTCGTGTTCAGGATGGCATCCCTCGCTTGAGCGTAGATCAAGTTCAGTTGCACGGGATCTCTCGAGTCTACGTTCGAATCACTGAAGAAGTATTTTCGACGTAACGTCAGCTTTTCTTCATCCGTGACGCCGAGTTCCCGTAGCGTTTTGCAGTGATCGACCTGGGGAATTTAGGGGAAGGAACATAAGGTTTCGATCTCATTAATTTTTCGCAACACAGAGTCTCCCTGCTGTGGACGCCCAGGACCTTTTCCTCAGAGCTCGCGACGGAGATTCCCCGTCCCGATCGATCAATTTTTTTCCTTTGAGGAGCCCCGGTTCGGTAGAGATCACGTACCCAATTGAGGTCGTCGTCGGTTTTCAATTTTTTCTTCAGCGTCTGCATCTTATCCTTCCGCCTCAAAGTCAGCGTGCCGGTCTTCTCTTTCTCGATGAGCTCATCCTCTCGGGGCTCTTTCGGCACCTCTCTCACTAGCGCAAACTCGTCGTGATTCGTGATACCTTGAAGAGATATGAAAGAGTCAAGTTGACGGAAACGAACGATTCGAGCGTATCATCTACGTATTCGTTTTTATCTCGGAACCGGATTTTGACGGAAGTCTATCGAGTCGATTTTGAGTTTCGTTGCTAGTACGAATCAATAGCATCAATCCGGATCTTCGACGACGCTCTCGCACGCTCGGCCATTCGATAGTTTGACTGATCCGGAGATTTGCGGACGTGGTCCAGCTCGAGCGAGCGCTTCGCCAAACCGTAGCCTATTAGGGCGGGAAATTTTCTTCCGGCATGGTGCCGCTCGCATGGCTCAAGTGACAAATTTCTGTTGATTTACGTTCGACAGCCTTGTTCAGGCGTTCTGTTTCCTCCGCATGGCCAGTCTCCGATATTCAGTTGAGCGAGCGGGAGAGCTACTCAGAGCCTGCCCGCTCGCAGGGAGGCAACCTGGCTGGCGGCTCGGACCCTAGGTCGGCTGCCAGCACAAAACCACAGCGGCGCCCAACGTCGGCTTAGAGTGCTAGAGAAAGTTATGTTTCATTCTCGGTTCCTGCTCATCCCACGAGAGACCGAATCGAAGAAGCCTTCCAGAGCTTTCACGAGGCCACGAAATGCGGATTAGAGCGTGAAATGCTCTACGAGGATCCCCGAAACTTGGATCAGTGCAGAATTGGTTGATTAAGCTCGGAAGTTCGATGTCCGAGTGTGAAAATGGTGTCATGAACCTTCGTTCTGAACTCCGATACATCTGGACTCAATCGATGTTTGGGCGAGCACGGAGAGAAAGCGCGGAGAGATTCTTGGAAGCTGACATTTAGGTTAACTGAAGCGTGACACGCGTATCCCTTGCCGACTAACTCGACTAGCTGGGAGATGTTGGCTAGCTCATGTGTTCGTCGACGCACTGGCACATGCGCGAAACCTTTGAATCCGCATCGGAAGAGCATGAGCTTTGTGTCTGTGAGGCTTCCGAACCTCCATCGTGCCACTCGTCGTTCACTCAAGCTGTTTTAAGCGCCTATCTTTATTTATTTACTCGAACACGTGGGTGGTTCCTCTTCATCGTCGTCGTTCTCTTCTCTGAGAGCGTTAGTGTGACTGGCTACGGATGAGCCTGCCCGAGCTTCTGCCAGACTCACTCACCCAGACGATACACGGAACCCACTTGGTGGAAACTACCAGGAGGGGAGCACCAGAACTGCGGGTGCTAGGAGAGAGAGAATGGAATAGGAATGGTAGTTACCAATTTTCGAGCAGATCACGACCATCATGTTGGCAACTGGCTGCGAGTCATCCACGAGAACAGTTTTCACGGTCCCGTCGAGTAAACCAATCCGGAGGTTCCGCATCTTCTTGCGGTATTCCACGAGGTCCTGTAAGGGGAGAGACAAAAGCTTCGATGAGAATCCCCCAAATCGCTTCTCGGAGCTGCTCGGGAACGACGCATGCCATAAGGACGCTCCTAAATGGAAGCCCCGTCATCGACTAGTTCAGTGTCACAACTTCTGCGATAAGTCTCGGAATACCAGGATTTAGAACGCTTGATTCGTTCGGAGCAAACTGGGGGAAAGGGGGAGAACCACTCGGGACTGCTTCAATGATCGTCGACATACGCTGCCCCATCTCAAAATCCTCTATGTAGGTCAGAGTCTTCGAGACTCACTCTCGATGAGAACGGATGACAGCAGTGTCCGTCGGAGCGACCGACCGACTACAATGAATTATGTGGCCCCTTTTACGGCTTCCAGCCTGGTTGTAAAACGCGTCGGTGAGCGTTAAAAAAAATAAAGAAGGCAAAGAATGAAGATGCCGAACGAACGGATCGACGGAAGAACAGGTGTCGCATGCATTATGCGGAATCGACTTGGGCACGACCGCGGTGCTCGGATGGTAAATGACTCGCAATAAGAAAAAGTCCTTTTTGAGAAATGAAGATTCACTACCAGATCACGACCCGCGGTCCGGTCAGTATGGCTGCAGGGTGCCTTCTTTTCCTTTTTTTCTCCGGGAGAGCATCCGTCGGAATTCTGTTCCACAGCGTACCAGTCCGAAGGGGACGATAGACGGGGAAGAATGGCAAGAAGAACACAGGTTCTCGAAAAGCGAGAATATATCGTATCCGTGTGTGAACACAAGAAAGCCTATTCATCGGAAGCTGGCACGCTAGCGCGCACTTGATGGCTTCCAATATTTTGAGAACAGTTTACTTAAGGTCCAAGGTCACATTGACTGACTACATCGGGTTTTCGAGCTCGCCGCTTTCAGGCCGGCAGAGACTTTTCGAGTCGGCCTTAAGTGAGGCTCGATACATGTATGTAGACTCGAGAATGCGAAGTATAAGAAGCGAAGGGAATTTCGAGTTTTCCTCGGATGTCCAGAATTCGATTTCGGGAATAATCGAGCTGGATGTCCCGGTTTCGGAAAACCCAGGTCGTTTTCCACATACGAAGCGGGAATCTTTGATCTCGTGGCAAGGTAAAAATCGAAAATCCATCGATGGGGGCCGGACATTCGAAATCGGGAGAAATGGGTCTGGAAGCCTTACCCCGGTTTTAAGGAGATAGTATCCGAGTGTTTTGCTGTTCTCGAGCCATACGCCGCCTTTCTTCGGATCCTCGTTCACCAGGAAAAGACCGCATTCTCTCGGGTCTCCGAGTTTACTCTCTGGAAATTTTTCCCGGACGATCCGGCAGGCATCGAAGACTTGGATGTTCGGGTCGAATCGGATCGTCTTCGTGGCTTTTCCTTCGAGTACAGCCACTTTCAGTGACAGACTCGCCATCGTTAGGCTGTAAAGCAAAACAAACAGATCATAATTAGTAGTGAGCTGATGCGTGTTTTTCTACGTCTGTCTACGAATGGAAGCTGAACCGGATCACGACAGTATCTAAGGAGAAATATCGGAGCTATAGTTCAAAACGACACAGACCCAAAACGGTATGAGATTCGACACCAGGATACAGGGATGGATCGGATCGAGGACGCCGCCTTCCTCAGAACGGTGACAATGGTAAGGCATTGGAAAGTCACTCGATCTACGCTGGTCGGTGACGTCTCGAGTTATAATCGTTCAACGAGTAGAGGGTTTGGAAACAGCGGATGAGCTGCGGATTTTCGACTGATCGGTCGCGAATAGCGAATGTCGTAGATAACTGCTGGCGAAACTTGGCAGCCCGATGAGACCTCAGACTGGATTCGGAGCACGGCATACCAATTATGTCGGAGGAAGCTGCCGGAGCATCGATGAGACCGCTATTTTCTGACTATTGAGGATGACTATATCGTCCTATCGGTCCATTCCCAGAGGAAACGAGCAGGGAACTCTCCAGGAGAGACCCCTAGCAAAGGAAAGGTCCGTCCTGGCTTATCTACTCCAGGTCGTACAAGAGCCGTGCGGCAGTCGATCAATCCATCGACCTATCTATCTATCGCAATCGAAGTTCAACGCGGGAACGCGAGGATGATCACAGGAGGAATGCCTCCACGTGGCGCCCTCAGAGAGCTCGCGCTCTTGGGCGGTTGATTCTCCCATCGAAATTGTAATATATATCATTGAATCTCCCTAATGAAAGGAATGTTATCTATCTATCAAATGGTCGCTGCTATCATCGACGGGTCGAGAGGGAGGAAACCGACAGCATGCTGCTCACCTCGAGGAGACAACCACGATGACGTGTTATCTCGAGCGACATGTGCGCGACGAGGCGCGATTGAGTTTTCTCAAAAATCAATTTTTTTCTCCGGAGAAGCTGTCGTAAACGGGATGTTCGATTGAAGCGATTGCCTTTTTCGAAGCGATGGTCGACAAACGCGTCGACAACGAAGGACAGCTCAGAGAAATGACACCCACGTGCTCACGTTCAAGCATTGCGTGGTACGGCGACTCGGCAGCCGCGAACTGAATGGAGTTGGGCAAATACTCACTGTTCCAGTCATATCTGCTCATCGTAATACTCGCAATCATCGGAGGTATATGCTCACATCCTCATTCAGACGGGGATATGTGGTGAGTACCGAGGAATCAATTCACCATACTGAGGAATTCCACGTCTCCGGAACCTAGGTATCTGCCAACTTTCATGAAAACTTCATCAGCTCACTCGGATATAAGATATAACAAATATCCCGATTGGGGATCCGCGCCAGGAATCGTTAAGAAACTCAATCGAACAATGGACGATTCATGGGAAAATCCGTCATCTTCCGTGAGACCCCGGGAACGACCGTACAGAAACTCGGAAAGCTACGAATGCTTTCTTGAATATAAAGGGATCAGCTCACGTCAAACCTCCTCGAACGAATCTGATCAACTGAGATTACGTCGCCGCATAACACTTCGGACGTATGAACGCCCACAATGAGCCTGATGAATAAGTCTCCTCCAAGACGACGCGATGTCGTCATCAACTCTATAATCCAAGCGACCATGTCAGCGATGTGAGCTCCTTCAGCAGTCAAACATAGACGAAATCCGGGATAACTCGCCGCTCAGATTCCGATTGCAGCAAATCTCGCCGGAAGAACGCGACTCTGCTCAACAAGTACGAGTCGCGCGTCAGGCGGAGAACGTATGAAAATTCGGATATTATTGGCTCGAGTACCCACCCACGCGGGGATTCCTGTTTAGCTACATGTTTGCTCCGGATGATTTTTACACATCGGAATTATCGGAAAAGGAGCATGGAAACTCCGCGAGGCCTCAGCGCCGCTGAGGTTCCGTCACGTTGAGCTCTCTGACTACCGATGGCCGGCACACTCTCGAGCCAGGCATCAATTGAGCTTGGTTCCAGGGAGAAACTCTCGAAAATCGAGCTCTTTCAAAGCGTCTCGAACACCTCTCCCAGAAACCATGATTAACGCAACCTCATATCTATTGAGCTCTGGCCAGAGTTCTGGGAAGAGCGACGCTGATGGTTCTCACGGGAGCGCCGGCTGGCAATCGAGCCGAATAATCACCGAGCGGAAAAGTATACGGCAAGGCTATCGACCGAATTGCGAAAACTTGCGAAGTACGTAACAAATAGCACTTTACTCACTCGTGCCTCATTGTGCTCCCTTTGCCACTGGTTCAGATATTCCTGAGCTTCTCACACTGATTCCATCGCTTTCCGCGGCTGGAGATATTGAATACCCGCGGAATATTTTCCCTCAAAACTTTTACGCGCACGAATTAATGCACGTTATCCTCTCGTATGGAGCCTGAGGGAGAACTTCACTTTGGAACGCGGGGCGACCGGGTCAGCTCTCGACTGGCACGAATAATTGTAGACCACGTGACGAAGCGACAGACACAAGACGACTCGGGCAGGGCTGATCTAATTCGACGCACAACTGATACGAGCCTTGAACGAGGGTGCACAATCGGCGATCATCTCAGGAGTACGCGATAGCTCGAAAACGTCGTATGCTACCCAATGCAGCAGAATGATCGAATGACAGCACACAATAGAACGTGGAAGCGTGAAGCAGATTGTTGAGACGACTAGTCGTCTTCACACAAGGCTCGCGGTGCGTGGGCTCTAGTCGAGGCGGAGGGCTGAGCATGAGAGAGCGCCACGCCGACAGCACCAAATCGGTCAACTTTCACTACAACACACTACACTACGGACGTTCAAACGGATTCAAACCAAAACAGGGAAATTTCTCCGCTTTAGGAGCTTATCATAGGAGCGGGCGTACGATTCAACAAATGTTGTCCATTGACCGATTTCGCGCAAAGGAAACTCCGCCATGTCAACAACAACGACGGTGACAACGGAGCCCGACAATACAGAATCCCACCCGACTAACGCCCGACGCTCTGGGCTTGGAAAATTGCTCGAATCTTCAGTTCGAATCTCCTCTCCGAAATAGAAATATTGATGACATTTTTTATCGAGAAGCTCATCACCGTCTAGATAGGTACCTGCCTCCCTCCGTCCTTATGGCTGATGCTTGCCGTCCGATCACAGTGTCGAGTCAAGCCTAGAACGCTCCGGAAGTCCAGCGAAGGTATTCGTGGGATCTGGCTCTATCGCTCGACGGCCAGCATAACTCTTGCGTGGCATGGATTTTGAGTGTTTGGATCGGTGGTAAAACATTGAACGGAATTCCATTCATCTACTCATCGACACATGTCACTCCTGCGGTCCACCAGTCTGGTTTACCGAGCGGTCGGCACGATCCCTCCGACTGACATCTTTAGGAGATCGAATAGAGTTATGGAGCAAAACTCGCCAGATGACTCGCTCTCCAGGGTCTGACGTCGGTCGGTCGTTGCCACAGTGGACTGCACCGCTCCTGTTGCTATTCGATTCAAAGGAATCCGGGGACGCGGTCTGTAGCTTTTTATTCCGCCAATAAGTACGCTTCGATAGGCTCGGTTCGGATGCGGACAATAAGTAAGTCGAGACACTGAGAATTTACGGGGATATCACAGTCAATACGGAGTCGCGGCAAGAGACTCGAGAAACGGATTGTCCCGTATGACTAAGCAACGAGCTACGTGCTCCAATAAAATGAGCTCTCCGAGTGAGGTAGACATTTCCTGCCGGACTTTTCCTCCTTGCAAATATCCTCACGTTGAGCTCAGTCTCTCGTCGGCGATGGGTTATCCAGAAGAAACTGTTGAATATAACCTGCGTGGCGATACGCGGGATTTCATAACAATTTCTTTGGAAACTTCTGAGAGACACCGAAACATTTCTAACATATCGTGAAAAAACATCTCAAATCTTCACCCTCGCATGCGATGCATCGGCGACGGGAAAGAAAGGAAGAAACCATTTAAGGCAATTATTATCGACTGCGTTTTCTTTTCTTTGCTCTTTTCCCTTGAATCGGGGTCTGATTATTGTATTTTCGCACCAGAGGAGCCACAACATGTCAACAATGTGGCCGTCGCCGACGGTCGAAGACCAGGAAACGGAACGGAAATTCTCGAAATCAGCATGACCACTTTAAGATGCGTTTGCGCTTGTAACAATCCATGGATTCGCAAGCTTCCTTGAAAGGATGAAACGAACCGATGCCGATGGGAGAAGCTCACAACTATTATATTTCTGATATCAATCATCTCTTATTCTTCAACCGTTGCGTCCTATCATTCTGTGATTGGTTGGCTGGTGCTTCGGGTGATATCACTACGTTACGAAACTTCAAGCAAAGTTCGAACGTTTAGGGCGAAACCAGATTTCAAAGTTTTTCACCTCTTGCTTTCTTTGACGGTAGTACTGGTCCGAGGTGTTTTCCGTGCATAATAAACAGCGTTATAAGTGCTCCATTTATATTCATGAGAAATTCGTGACTGACATGGGCACAAGTTAGTCGATGCCGATGAATGTTGGTCGGCCACGTAATGCTGGTGTCATCTCTTACCAAGAAGTGAAGCCCACTTAGTCACCGGGCCGCCACGCGATGACGTCATCAACGAGCGGTCATTCCGATCTGGCATCACAGACGGCAAAAATTTTCCCGCCAACTTCTGCGACTTTTCCGTTGAAGGCGCTCGATGCTTCTCGCTCTTTTCGTTCTCTGACGATTTCTAGATCGATGTTCTCTCGCGGTTTTCCCATGCGAGGAGAAGCTCGCGATGCTCCGTTCAGATTGCGTTCATCGTCAAAGTTCAGCAAGTGTTTGAGAGTCAGGTGTAGCCAGCGACCTCTTGATCGTTTCGGGATCAGCTGCGTCGGCGACTGTCTTCCCGTGGAATCTCAGTGTTGACAATACGTCACCACAAAGAACCACACACGGCCGATTTCGGCACAGCCATCTTCTACAGGCTCGAACGATATCAAACACTTGTATGGATAGACGATAAGCGACCGCTCACGTCGACCGCAACAGGAAAGCGAGTTTCACTCGGCAAGTTCTATGTCTCGAGGAATATGAAGAACGACTTCCGGCAAAGAATCGACTTTTTGATTTCAAATTCATCTCCTCTGGTTCATTCTCGTGGAGCTCTCCTGTGATGACGGAGAATCCCCGGATGTACTTCATTCAAACAAGCCACACCTAAATTCCCCCATTCGTTTGAGAAATCGACGATTGTTCATCGACTGGCTCCTCGAGAGTTCCCACGGTTTGGTAAGAAAGAAATAACAATTATTCGCCCGCTCGCGAGGATAAATCGGGATCCCGGCACTCGTTTCAATAGACGGGCACGACGAATATTTGAGAAAATCTGTTCAATTCATGGGTCATGTCTGGGACGACTCAGAATCGGCGAGCGCTGCTCCGACGGCGCTGTTGCTGCGAGCTGTTCGACATTCCCGCCATGAAATTTAACGAGAATTCATGTCGCGTGAACCAGTGCCGAAGTCTGGAGCGTCGACGTCGACTCTATTGCGGAGCCGCGCGACTCTCATATCAGCCGTGTTCGATTTTGTCACAGTTCCCAGCATTGAACAGGCGGGGCTTCCGAATCGAGCGTAAATACTAAAGCTCCCTCCCACAATGCACCTGAATAATAATCGAGCGATCCTCCCTCTCCGGAGAGCGGATTGTAACGTCGAATGACCAAAGATTAGTTGACCTCACGACCGAAAACCGGGGGATCGACACCGTATCATGAGCTCGACCGCAGACTGCGTCGAATCTGCGTAGAAATGCGGTCCTGGACCCCCGGCTCGGTGTTTCTCGCGCATGAGCACCTACATCAATCCCGGTGGATAGTCAGTAGTCAGTACTGATATAAGGCATGGTCTTCCACCATTAAAGGTGAGCAGCGACTTTTCCCTTGAGGCTACCCACGCGGATAAACAAAACAGCCGCGAGTCGTTGCTATACTACCCTGCTGGCCGTTGAGAGCAGACTTTCGTATCCTGCCGCAGCGCTGCTCTGGTCTTCTTCCACACGGTGCTTGCTGTCACTACCACTAGAGCCAGCAGAGCCGCCGGACGACGACGAATTCTACTACTATGGCGACTTGAGTGAGGCAAGACCGGTCTCCCGTGCTCATCCCATGCTATTTCTCAGTCTGTCGAGGCAAACAGCGAGGAGACCAGCGAATGAACGAGATTCGAAACTCGGCTTCTTCCGCGGCTGCTGGACCTCCACCACCACAGCCAGGAAGAAGGAACCGACTCTGTAGAGATCAGTTAACAAGGACGCGCAAGACAATGACGCGCACGCGTTCTTTGCGCTCGAAGACGAACGCACGCATGCACACCCGCAAACCTTTCGTGGGGAGCAACCCACGCGAATAGTAATCAGCGACTACTCCGAGTACAGTCAGTAAGAGATGATTTCCCGATCTTCTCCCGATTCTCGCGCAGCGGAGAGCGACTCAGAGACCGGAGCGGATAGTGAATGGTAGCTCTGACTCCACCTGCTCTCCCCTCGTCAATGATTAGAAGCAGCAGGGAAAGCATCTCGGCTCGTCTCACTCAGCGGACCCGGGAGATGTCTCACAGGCGCGAAACTGTTCCATGAGAGGGATCATTATTCCATTGGATGAACATGGACGCATTGTTGTTCGAGATACTCGCGAGACTCGAGAGGCAAGACAATCGTTCACAGACCGAGAACTCATCCTCATACGTGTGCGATCGGATGCTCTGAGTATAACTGCTCCCTGAGACCCTAGATTGAACTAAGAAATTATGCCACCGACTGATTTTGAGGAAGCGTTGCAGTGATTCAAATCACGCTGATCGTTCCCCGCCCGCAGAGCGTCATAATTTGCTCGTAATAAAGCTCCCCGATGCTTCGCCGACGACGGTAATATGTAATATGTAATGAATTTAAAAAGCCGGATCGACCACTTTCGAGAGGCAAAATAAAGTTCAGCGACGGGCCGAAACTAGGACGCAATGCTCAGAATATACCGAGGGAGCTAAAATCAATTTTCATTGTTTGAGTTCAAGAGCGGCAGGGCGTTGTCAGTCTTCGGCCGGCGAGCTTCTGCGCTGTCCGCCGACGATCCAAACAGAGACTTCGGTCCGCCAGTCCCACAGAATGAAAGTTGACCGCCCCGCCCGAAAGTCAAATCCCGCATCGTCTGTCAAGAGATTTCCTTCAGAGTTTCCCAGAATCGATCATCTCTTGACGCTCATCCTCGTTTTGCCG